CTTTAAAATCTCACGCTACTCCCCAGAATTAAATGATCTATTACCTACATTACCATGCCGATTGTATTGGACGCATACCTATAAATGTTGAAAATCAGAGGGGAGGGGGGGGGGGGTACCTTTTGATCAATCTAGGGCCAAGGTCAGTTCAAGCAAAAGTTATTTCGCCCAAAAATAAGGAGCTTTTCCCCGGCCCCACCTCTAAATTCGCCGCTGTATAAAGAAACTACCCGTACCCTGCGTAGCAGGCATTAACTAAAAGGGGAAGGGAATGGAGGAGAGCGCGAAGAGTGGAAGTGTTTTTTTTTACGCTCAGATTCTGAGCGTAAAAACAATGATTGGCCGGAATAAATTAACTGTCAAGCTTCAACTTAATACTTTGTTCCTACTGGTTGAAATCAACATCACACCATTTGAGTATATTAAACTTGACCTATCGCGCTTTCGCGCACATATTTGAAAATTGAACTACGAATGTAGCTTAATGGCCTTAGCAATATAAGTGCATTTTAGAAGCTCAAATTTTCGTCACGTGACTGATAATTGAGAATTAGCGGTCAAAATATTTACTCTAAAATAGGGAAAGGATAATGAAAGAGCAACAAGTTCTTTTAGGTACATTTCAGAGGCTATTAAAAAGGTTCTTATAAATTCGTCTTGTATGTGTGTTTACGTTATAGAGGAATCGGTAAATATAGGGAAAAGGGTCACCTCACTTATTAATTGGTTAAATAGGTAATAACATAAATAACATTTCCAATGATACAAGGCGAGTTTACGATTTTCACTGTTTATGTTACATTTTGGTAGTGAAAATTCCTAAGGTTAAGGTTTGCAACCCTTCCCCGTTTAGGAAAACGTGTTTTGTGATGTCATTGACGAAGCGATGTCACGTGTTATTTGAAATCACGTTTCACGAGTTTTTTTCGTTGAGCCACATTCGTAGTTCACTTTTCAGGAGCACTGATGGAAGCAAACCGTTCTAAATAGCATTTACTAAAATATGCATATTTAATTAGGTAGTCATGGTTGTCAGAATTAGAACTGGAAAAAGGCCTTAAGCTTACCTTGAAAGAAGAGCCGAAGACCGCAGTGAAACATCTTTTTGAAGAAAGATACGATACCTGGTGGCGGTTTAATCACCTGGTTTGAAACCCGGTAGAGCTGGCCCTTATGTTCAAGATGATCTCACTGAATTGCATTGTGTATTCTTACTGGGCATTTAACTTCTGGTTTAGCGCCCGCTGTGTTAAAAATTGTGCTTTTAACATTTTCATTTTAACTCGCGTCCCAACCAGTATTGAGGGTCCCCAATAGGGTTCTTCAATAATCCCGTAATCCCGACCCAAACTTTCGTGCAATCCCGAGGGTTATTTTTGGCATCCACCTCCCGTGCATACTTTCAATCCCGAAACTAGGGAATTGTTTAATTAGTTTTTTTTTTTAATTTGACAATTGTGTAAAGCAAAAAAACCATCGTTTTCGCTTGAGCTGCGTTCGGTGTTATTTTGATTCAAAAAAAGATATATCCAGATTTTGACCTAAAGAAAGTTATAGGGGTCAAACAATTGCTGAATACTTAGTGAGTCGTACGTTTAGTATAATATGGCGGTGTTAAAAAGTTTACAGAGTACTCAGTATAAGATGAGTACTCCTTGGGCTAATTACAATTACATCTCTTGCAAAGCTTAACACAGAAGAAACTTTTTGCAGTCGTGGGTCGCTTCGCTTAGAAGAAAAAAAAAAGGCCTTCTATATGACCCAATTTAATTGAGTCAGCAAATAATGGAGAGAAAAACTTGATTTGTTTTTGGAGAAATTTGCAAATGAAAGATGAAACTGACCAATGAAACTGTCAGCACCTGCTTGAATTAAATACGTTTTTTACTGTTTAGCGGTCGAAATCGACGATTCCGACTGACCTTGCTATTTTCCGACAAATTAAGCATTAAATGGTTTGTATGTGGCCTGATAAATGACAATTACCCACCCTTGTGATTAGCCGATGGTATGGCGCGTGCGCTTGGGGGTCACGAATGGGATCGGATATAGTAAATTGAAACAAACAGTTTGAATCGCAAACATCGCAAGAAACAAACATGCTGAGGTATGATCTATTTAAATGAGGCTCTATCAGTAACAGTTTTCGTATCATTTTATTTCTCATTTTGATCGTTCGTTTCGTTTCCTACGTGCGTGACATGGCTGTCTTTTCTATAATTACTTCTCTCTCTCTTTTTTAGAATCGTTTGCTTGCTCTGCTGTAATTTAATGAGAAAATCACCCTCACCCTGGATGCCCGAGCTATTTTTTAACTCCGCGTTTTGAAGGAGAAGTTATCGGCTGAAACTCATTGCTGGAAACTCAGAAGCAGGTGGCCGGAAACAGGCCAAATTATCCTGCACATCCGCTCAGGACCAAAACTCGCATAATTTTAAAGATAATTTGAAGAACGCTGCAAAGTCTTAAGGCAGTTTCAAGGTTAGTAAATTCACTAGCTATAACGGCAGATTTAGAGCCCATAACCCGGGAGTGAGCAACTCTTATACTAGGCCTATTTCACGGCGTTTTCAATGACCGATTTATTTTAGATACACTTTAGAGTCTATTTTCTAAGGAAATTTGAAGCTCCGCTCTATCCATCAGCGCATTGTAAATATATGATATGACAAAGGAAAACTTAACATTATTAAAAGGTCAAAAATGAAATTTCGGGGGTTTTAGTTTTACTTCTTGATTTGTGGGACATGAAAGATATTCTAAAATTTGCGCCAAAATCGTTCAGATATTTGTTTTGCTCAGGTCAGAAGGTAAGGTATTTACAAGCGAAAGTAGCGGGAAAAGGGGCAACAAACTGTGTGCACAATCTTTGATCGCTGTTTCGCATTTTCGTTAACCGTAAGAGCACGTAAAGTGCAAATACTTGATTTTTAAGATTTAAGATTAAGATTTTTAAGATTTAAAGACATACAGTCTAACCTCTCCATAAGGACACCTCTATAATACGGAAACCTCTCCATTACGGCCAGTTCGTTTGGTCCCAGAAATGCCAAAAATCATACATTCCCTACCTCTATAATACGGACACCTCTGTAAAGTGGACACTTGGTTCTGTCCCTTTGGTGTCCGTTTTAAAGAGGTTTGACTGTAAATGGTTTACGGCATTTTACAATAATATGCGACCTCTTGAAACTAAAAATGTAATCAACGGTCACGTTATTACCTTTTAAAGACATCTCAGGTAGCAAAGGGGTGCGTACCAGCCCGGGGAGGGGGGGAGGGGCACTCCCTATAAAGACATATACGGGAAGGCACTGCCCGAAAGAGGCACATCTTTCAGGGGTCAGGTATGTCAAAGGGTATAAGGAATTCACGAATTGAAGTATACGAAAGGGTAGGAATATCTATGATTTCAGCATTGAAAAGACGCGCCTTATGGCCGGGTACCATTTTTCAACCGGAAAGTATACGAAACAGTAAACTTCCGATTACAAGCCTTGCGGGGCTTGTACAACTTCATACGGGGTTTTAGGAGGGCCTATAAACAAGGGGCCCACTATTTACTTACTATTTTGATCAGCATAGCCTGCGGAGACCAATCTTCGCTATGGGGAAAAATGGCAAAAATCGGAGTGAAAATCGGCGAGCACTTTCATTTCCGGTTGATCCTCAACATTTACTTTGGACAAATGCTATCTCCTCATCCCCTAGTTTGACGAGTGCCTAGTCCCCGTAGGGCGTTTCCCAGGCCGTCTCGGTCAATGCTTTTCGGTGACGTATTCGAGGCGAACACGCGGGCTAGAATCACGTGACCCGAAACGCATTGACCGCGCGGAATAATGAGGCCTAGGGACTAGGCAACTTCGGTCTGACATTTCCCCCTTACCTTTAACGTGATTTAAAATCTCACTGATAACTGAGGTTGATAACGGTTACATAAAGGGAAACTGCTGTACTGCCCTTGCGCGCCTTTTTGGTCCGCATACAGTCCTCTATGACTAAATTTAGCTAAGTGGGTAGAACTCAGAGGGTCGTGAGTTCGATTCTCACCTGGAGCTTGGAATTTTTTCTGAGCTATTATTCTACCAGAGCTCTCGATCCGTGGCGCTGAACGCAAGGATCGCGCAACATCTCGTTTCGCGGAGACGGAAAATGGTTTGGACAAAGCAAAACTTTCGGTCAAAAAACAAAATTTCGTTGAACGAAGAGGATTTTGGTCCATTCAAAACGAACTTTTGCATGAATATGTCGTCTGATCCTATGCTGCCTAGTTTGGTTTCGGTTTATTACCTCGCTCGAGAAATTTCGCCCACAATAGAACAATCGGATGCACCAAAATTTCATGATATTTCGTCTCACGCGAAAGTTTACCTTTGTAATTTGTTAGCACGAATTTCCCCAAAATTTGGCCGCTCTCATTACTTTCATGGGTCCAGAAGAGTTTTGTTTTTTAACGAATTATTTTTTAACGTCTTACCTTGTAAAATATACACCCCCGTCGCTAAAGGTATGAAAATCAAAATAAGTAAGTCTGGTAGGATCTTTATGGTCCATTTGGAATTAATTTTCGGATCGATATCTCATGATCGACGCCGAATTAAATCGCCATTTTGAAAAATAGTCAACCGCTAGCCATTTGATCGTTGGCGCAAACCTCTTGCCCGAAAGGCAACGACGAAAAGCGAAGCTTTCTGAACGAGGCGGGAAGTGCCGAGTAGAACCATTAAAGGGCAAGCATTCCGTATTATTTACTGTTAGCCGATATTAGAATATTGCGAACCCTCGGGCTCAGTTTTGTGGTATATAGGTTGCTTTTCTGTGCATCACTGCAGCACTTACAACTGATTTTGCCATTTTTATTTTTAGGCGTTGTGTCCAATAATAACATGAAGCTGATCCAATTTGTTACGATCGTTTTTTGCTTCTTTCATCAATCTCCCAATGCCTCTACGTGTACGCAGAATGACGATCCCTGCGGTGACTTCCAGCCGTTTTACGAAATGGCGCTAAAAGGACATGTCTTCCAGACGTTAAAGGTTCCAAGTTCACTTTATTGTTTAGAAGCTTGTAAGCACGAGGCAAGATGCCAGAGTTTCAACCACGTCATGGGAAAAGACATCGGTGAGCTCAACAACCGCACAAAAGAGGCAAGACCAGAGGACTTCATCTCGGACGTTACCAAGTTGTACTTGAAAAAGCCTAAGAATAGAGGTAAATTGTAGAAGAGTCAATTTACTGTATGACAAATACAAGATTCTGGGGAAACTCTCCACTTACCCCTCCCTTTACTCAATATTTTAAAGTTGGGTACCGTTAGGGGAGAAATAGGTGTCCAGTGTTTAGAGTCTCTATAAGACGCCACTATGAGACGAACACCTCCCCAAAACGTAAACGCGGAGTTGGTCCTCACCTTCGCACTTCAGTCATCTTCTTTTAGTCAGGTCTCTTAGTGCAAAATATAGGCCGGATCGTTACAGACGTGACAAAAGTGTCAAATTTGGCTCAGAGCTTCCTTAGCACCAACCGATTAATACTGGAGGGGGTGCCCGTTACAAATGGTCCAAATTACAGATTAAAGGGGGGGTTAACTTTCACCTATAATAGCAGATTGGGTGCCCTGTGGTGAGTACTCTTCTTGTTTGATTTGGCTAAAAAACATTTGTTGCAAATTTTTAAGTTTTTAATTTGGTAATGTTTAGTTGTTGTTACACTATTCAAAATAGTTTTACATGTACATAATACTGACTAGTGCCCAGTCTCCACACGGTAAGTGTGGCCATGTTCATTGTGCGGACTGTGCGGCTATCAGTGTCACTGCTAAGACTTGCCAGTGATAATATCATTACATATCAATTTAAACAGATCACAAAGCCAGCTTTCAAAGATGTCATACAATCATATAAAACGCAAATGTATCACATGCTAAACGACAGAATCGTTAAAGTTTGACATGCCACATGAACGACCTCATGAACCGTAACTGACAACGCACCCACTTTGTAATTGTGCAGCTAAGATTAGATTATAATTTGCTTCGTTGGTAACCCTGTCCTTGAGATAATGATTAAAACATGTCAACCTCGTCCTCAGGGGAAAAACGAGGAGCAAGGGTGGCACAGTTGGTTAGTGCGCAGCCCTCGGGGCGAGAGGTCCCGAGTTCGAGCCCGGTGTCAACACATCCTTATTTCAACTTCTCTTTTTTCTGTGTAGCTTTGACTAGCTTTAAATACCCTTAAAACGGAGAATTAATGGAGAGAGGGGGTAAAAGGAGCGCACCGTTGACCTCAAGTTTATCACTTATTATTACTGTCACGAGTTATTGACGTAAGATATGGTCGCTTTACCTTTTTCCACCTTTTTATTAAGCCTTGGGGACGAGGTTGTAAAACGTGCCTCTCCAGGAATTTTTAACACTCTTTATTTTTTGCACATTTGCATTTAAGGTCTCGGTAAAGGAAAATGAGGTGCCCACAGAAAAAAAAAATTCTAGTCGCGCGAGTATTTTCTCTACAAAGGCAAGTTATATATCAAATTAAAGCTAAAAGACTAAATTACCTTATAAAAGATTTTATTTCATCGAATTTCAAAAGGCGCTTAAGTTTTTTGCTCTCGAATTCAGAGGTATCAAGTTTATGGCTGAAGCTCCAGCCCTTTCGCGTTGTTAAATATTCGCTTCCTTTTTATTGCGTCTGATTGACAGATAAAAGACCTAAATAAGGGTGTGAGGAAATTTGCATATGTCTCGTATTAGCGGAATTATTGCATTTCAAACTAAAAAGTCGAATCTCGAGCGCGATTTACGCAAAGAAACTGACATAAAATGAGTTACAAAGGGAAATCGGAAAATTCCTCAAAGCGATAGCTTAAAACCTGTCCCGACTGGAGATCGGAGAATTTTGATTTTTGCGTCTCAAATAGAGTGAGAGAAAATCAGCTCTAAAGATTTAGCGCGAGGTCCACCCTTGGCTGGTTAGCTCAGAAAAGGCTCATTTTAGAAGGGTTAAAAAGCACTTTATGATTTTCTTTTTCTGCCAAAATAAAATTTAGGACCCCCTCATGCCAAAAATCCAAAAAATAACAAAATCGAGCAATGTACTAAAATTTTCATTTACCGAGACCTTAAAAAGAAGTGTGTGAGGTCCCTGCATGCCTAGACACCTGTAAGCGGCTCATTCACTTCAGAACCCCTTGGACCAGAGTGTTAATGGTAGGTCTATACGATCTTTCAAAAAAAAGGAAGGTCGTCGCGTGCGTTACAATTTACAAACAAACTAACTTCAGAAGAGCTGAAATTTACAGGAACAAGGCCTCTTTTAGCCAACCAATGATGCATCATTTATGAAAATGAATGTAATTTGTTTGATGCAATTAGGCGAATACCCCGTGGTTACGAAATCTTACGATCATGAATTCCTCAAGAGCAATTCAGTTACCAACTTTTCACAAAATAATGCTGTGGAAAATTACATAAAATACCAAAAAAGCAAGGGTCAACAATAATTGTGGCCTGGTCCCTTATAATAATGGAGTGGTCATGATAAAGAAGCCCATCAGCCCCAACTTTGACCACTCAAACAGATTTTTGACAGATTACATACTGCAAAACTTTGCATTCACTTATGCCTATGTTGCCACACCAGGAGCCTAGAAATCGGCTCCTGGTCACACCTTGTTTTTATTGCTGAATATCATTCTAAAGAGCTTTACGAAATATTTTGTTAGTAGGGGTGTTTTGAACATGATTCATATTTAGAGATGGTGACAAAAACGAACACAGAAAAAGTCACAAAACGAGACGCATGAAACAACCGCAATATTCGTTTTACACCGATATAATGGCTTCTTTGGCTGCTATGCTGACATTCTTGAAGATGGCCGGTAGTATCACAGCTCGTCCCGGGTTAGGTATACCGTTTATTACCATTTTCACGGTTCCTGAGACTTAGGGCCTGTTAACATAAAGGTGGGAGACCCCAGGTAGGTGAGGTAACCTGCTTAGGTGGGGTAAAAAAATAACCCTCCTTTACATGCAATCTTACAACCCCGCCATCCTGGGGTGCATCAGTTTCTCAAGATTATTGAATGGTCGCTAAGCATGTAAACAAGAAAAATGCTGGCAAACCACGTCTACCGTCAATTGCTGCTCTTGCAGCAACCTTCAGTGTTGTGGCTTTCTATTGTTACCTTTAATAATTATGTGAAGCCACCTAGAGCCAAAGTGAATTTTGCGCGAATTTGATTTATCACGAATCCGACCCCGACTAGCCTGGGTTTCCTCACCTTGAAACGTTGACATGGCAAAATTTGACCTCAGCTGAGAGGGTTACCTGGTGTGGCACACCGGGCCACCCACCTTGAAGGGTGACTCCACCTATCATGTAGTGATCAAATTAAAATGAGAGATTATATGGACAAGCGGGTTACCCCACCTAAGTGGGTTACCATTCCTACCTGGGGTCCCCCTCCTCCATGTAAAGAGGCCCTAAAAGTTAGCCCGGCCCCCTTTCTACAGTTTCAGCAGTTAAACCATTCACCATTTATCATTTGAGTCAATTTTGTACCACCTAAGTCTCACTTTTACGACTTGATAAGCTGTTATTACTTTTGGACATGAGTGCTTCAGTGCCAAATGTAGAGGCTTCATGATAAACTGTGCTGTTTTTTTGAAGCTTGGGCTAACTTGTTTCTTTTTTTCGTTTATGAGAACAGATCCTTTTTTGCTTGTTTTTGCTTTGTAAAGCTTAGACAAACTGCGGAAATTGTAAATGATATGACTTGTGCCACGGTGCTTGCTTCTCTGTCAAAACATGCACTTGCGTCCAGCAGATAACTGGATAAAGAGAGACTGAAAGGCATCCATGATGTTAAGCTGAAAAATTAATTACCTCTCTAGGAAAGAACTATTTTGGGTTCTGTCATTTCGTTATTTGCTCTTCATGAATAGCTGTCATAAATCCCTGATAATATGTGATACAACAGACTCTTTGACAATTTCTTTTTTCTGAAATTTTGTGTGTGAATCGCTATGCCATACGCTTTCTTCAGCTTAAAGTGACATGTAATGACAAGTAATACTTGATAAATAAGGGTTAAGCCACACAATAAGGCCTTCTCTAATTGAAATACATTAGAAAAGGAGAAGAGACCCCAGAAGCTCATTATGAAGCAAAGACGAGGCCATCTTAGAAGTGACTTATGAAAATGTAGGCGGACTGTGGACTTGCTTTAAGGGCACAGTAATAATCAACTTAATTATACAATCAATAAGCAAAAATGGATGGGAATGCCAGATGTTTGAGTGAAATTGTTGTTTACAACCTGAGAATAGAATTCAGAGTGATTTAAGGTATTAAATCATAACAATAACAATTTTCAATCAAAACACCACAGGGACCCCAGCAGGTGAAATTTGCAAAAATCAAATCCTTTTTAGCACGCTTCAGTGGCATATTTGCAGTGGGCACCCCCTCTAATATTCATGGTACTGCAATAAGCTATCGCTGTGCAAAGTTTGGTGCGTTTGTCAACTCTGTAACGATCCTGACCCTAAGAGACCTGACTATTTGTCGCTCTATAACACGGACAGAGTACAACTAACTAGCTGAGATGAACACTAAACGACATTGAGTCCCTCACTTCGCCGCAGAGTTGAGGCTCGCGATGTGTAGCAACAATTGAAGATTTGTCTTTCTTGCTTTTGACGTTATTTACAAATATTCTTTCTTTCCTTCTCTCATTGCTTTTTACTTGTTATCAGATGATATCTGGTTGTAGTAGAATTATTTAATGCCTTGTCTTGTCTAAAAATAGTAAGCGCGTGGTGGACAATGAGAGGAGAAAAAAGGCGGGAGCCCGGCCTGTTGTTCTGTCTTTTGCATTCTTATCGTCCACTGCGCGCTTTCTTATTTTCCTCTCCCCAGCCTCCTCAAGACACAAGGAGGCTTCTGCAGATGAAAGAGCGGCAGTAGGGACTTAAAGTAGCGACGTTTTTGAGCGATGAACGTTAACCGGAAGTTAACCTTTGTCTCTTTTTATATGCCTTGACGCTACCAAATTTGTATAGCTAGGTGTCTTCTCTCTTAAAGAGACGTTTTGCCCAAACATTGTTCATAATCACGGCGCAACAGTGCAAAAAGTTTACTTCCGATTGACGTGCGTCGCTCAAAAACGTAGCTGCTTTAAAAACTCGCTAGTCACAATGGTGGCTGACTTAGTATGAGTTGACTTACGGTACGGAAAAACGGGCAACAAAAAACGTGCAACTTGTTTTGCAACATTGCTGCAAAACGAGTTGAATAGCGATATTGTGCGTTTTACCGCCCATGTTCAAACCGGTTAACAACCTGATTTGTAGCAAGACAGGTTTTATTTGGGTGGTATAACGCACAACATCATTATTCAAATCGTTTTGCAGCAATGTTGCAAAACATGTTGACGTTTTTTGTTGCCCGTTTTTCCGTACCTTAAAGCTTAAGAGTAAGGTTACGTTATGTCGTGTTCTCTTGTGGTTTACCATTTTTCGCCACTAAGGTAGTAAATGAAACTAGGCACCTTAATTTTCTTCCTTGAATGCTGAGAGAATTCCATGTACTCGGTTTTCCTTCACAAAATAAGACGCAAAGCAATATCAAAGGGAAGGGAAAAATCATTTTAAATAAGTGGAATAAACCTCAACACTCCTTTAAAAATTTGCACTTCATTCTCGGTTCGTTTCCAGCTGATACCAATTGGGATTAAATGGGAAAAGGCAGTTTTCCGCTTAGATTTGACGCGTAAATTGTAAGCTAATTCACATGTGCTAAACATTACTTCCTTTGACAGTGGCCCTTGGATCCATTGCTGAACTTCCAGCTGCAAGCTGCGAGGAAATAAAGATGAGTGAGGGACAGGTTTTGGCCAGTAAAAAATACTGGATGATTTGTATGAACCAGGATATGGCTGTACTTACTTACTGCAATATGACGACGGGAGGTGAGCTTAATTGCTGGCGAGCCTTTGCGAGCCAACACGCTAATCTCTACAATAGCGGGAAATGCCACAATTTGTCGGACGTAAGATTAGAAGCATGCGCAATCGATTGTTTTTTTATCATCCGGGGTATTCACACCTGTGCTATGACGTCAGGTAAAACGTGCATGTGGACGAGATCGAGAGATTCCGAGTAAATGTCCAGGGTGCAAGCAGATTATAAACGAGGAGAATGTTTTATAATTGCTTATTATAACGTTATTTGCTTTTAAAAAAGCTTGTCCGACTCTAATTACCAGATGTCACTTTCATCTGCTTCCCTTTATATATTTTCAAACTGTATTCCTCGTATTTTCTCCCATCTCTGACGCCAGCGTTAACTTTCAAATTGAAACTCCTAGTTGTGTACTCGTTTTTCTTATCACAGATGTTTGATCACAAATTGCTTAAAATGATTAATGATTAATTCTCGCATTAATGCCCCTTTAATTAAGTATGCCCATTCGAATAAGTGCGCTTACCTTTAACACCCCTCCCTATCCTCCTTCCTGAATTTACGGTTTCACGACAAAGTTGACTGACGAAAGCAAAGAATATTAGTGGGAAAACACGCGATATATTACAGATTTGTTTTTCACTGATGAATTGCTGGCACCCTAGTGTTAAATTGACTTTGAGGAAAGAGGGAACGTTTCCGATGTACAATAGGAACTTTATTACCAACAATACTATTTAGTCATATTACCGATAACGCGGAATCAGGGGGATCTAAATGTTCGTTGTCTTCCCGATAAAAGTGATATACCCTGGAGTGTTCATTCAACAGTTTAAGGTCCCCCTTCCCTGATAAAGTAATTGAAAGCCTTAAATGTCTTTAACATCTTTTGGTGGCCTTGCTACTAACGAGGAGGTTTCATGTGAAGTGGAACTAGGATTAACTGAGGGGGGAGCGTAATTTTTCTGAGACGCGAAACTTGCACGAGTTCTTGTTGTAAGCAGTTTACCAAACTGGCTTTTTCAGTATGTATTGGTTTGTTTTAATTTTCAGTGCCTCTTATCAATTTTACAACAAAAGGATACACGGGACGATACTATTATTCAAAGATTCATAATTCCGAAGACCGGTGTTTATCTGATAAAAGCCTGGGGTGCTCGAGAAGGAACCCACTCGACTAACTATGGAGATTATCCCGGAACTTACTATGGTGGAAGAGGAGCGATGAACTTCAAGGAACGTTTGGCTTGAATGTAGAAACTGTTCTGAATATTGTGGTGGGTCAGAGAGGAGGAGACTCAGTGGAAGTGAAAGAAGGACAGTCTACTAACTTGACGGCAGCGCAACTGGAACTGTCTGTAGAGGGCAATGCTGGTACTTGGGGAGGGGGAGGGAGCTTCGTTTATACAACAAATAACGAGCTTTTGTTAGCTGCCGGAGGGGGAGGGGGTGCGTCTAATGGGTATAACGGGGTGGATGGTCAGGCGGGTACCATTGGCACCAGTAGTGTAGGGAGAGATTCAAATGCGATTGATGGCGGAGGGACTGGGGACAACCTGGTCAATGTAACAATAATCCCGAGACGGCTGACTACCATGGGGGAGTGGGTGCAGGTTGCTTGGGGGAAGGGTGCGCCAGAGTCGACCCAGAACATGGTGAACGGGTTGGATCACGTGCTCAGGATTGGGTGGGGGAACGTGCTGGAGGAATGAATAGTGGCTATAACGGTGGGCCACCCCCTGGGGCAGTGGGAGGATTTGGCGGTGGGGGAGGAGGTTCCGAGGATAATGGTGCATCAGCAGGGGGTGCTGGATATTCTGGGGGAGGAAGTGGTTTATGGAATTCTCAAGCCGGTGGGGGAGGGGGCTCGTGCTGTAGTGGCTCAACCCGTTTAGGTATCACTGGAGGTAATATGAATGATCACGGAATTGTGGAAATATTTGAGTTGTGAAATATTGATAACATTAAGTTCTTGGCTTTGCTGATGTTTCACATGATACATCTAGTTAGATTTTTAAAAATTTCACTGATCTTAGATAGCAGTTGTAACAACTAACATAAAATTTGCCTGAATTTTCAATAGCCTGACAAAACAGCCGACAACTCGTTTCCACCGCTGGTTCCCCCGCAAAATGACGTCTGCGAAAAAACTAGTGCAGAAATTCCATACTGATGATTCTTCATTACCCAGATTTGGGTCGTGGTTTTGATTTGTTGAAGCACATTTTCAAACGATCAAAAGCCCTACCCAAATCTGGCTAGTGATACGTCATCAGTGTGGAATTTCTGCCCTCGTTTTTCAGCCGTCATTTCGCGGGAAGTCGCTAAATGTCGGCTGTTTTCTCAGACTAGATTTTCAAACGTGCATATAATTAAGTCTTTCTTTCTTGTAGACCATACTAGCTACGTTTTGAACTAAGTATGACGAAAAAATGGATTTGCTTCAAATTTGCTCAGCGCAAATATGATGCAAATTTGTGCAAACTGGGGAATAAATCTGAGCAAAGGTGGTAAATGCCGAATTTGCATATCTATTTACACCCGCGTGTAAAAGGTATGCAAAATCGGCATTTACCACCATTGCTCAGATTTATTCCCCAGTTTGCACAAATTTGCATCATATTTGCGCTGAGCAAATTTGAAGCAAATCCATTTTTTCGTCCAGTGAGCCATTACGTCCTCCCCTCTTCCCCCGCTCTTTCATGATCCTTGTTTCTTTCTCTCCTCTTTTATCCTTAAATATTTGGCCTTTGAAGTGTCTGTATGCTTTTTGGACCGATAAGAACTGTAGTTTTGGCTTTCTTCTGGTTAAATAAATCGCAGTTTTTTGTTTTCAAAACCATCTAGATATATACCGTATAAGACCTGTAACCCGGTGACATTCGTTTTAAAATAGTGCTTCACTATTCTAGGCGCACCTGAAATGGTAATAAGTACAAATTTAGTTGCGTTAGGGAAACAACCGGGAAACAACTTAGTTTTTAAGGTTGCTTGAAGAATCGACCTAAAAAAGGCAAATTCATTAGTCGTGTAAGAAACTCTTCCCGTCAATTACATTCCCTAAGAGCGATCTATTGATCGGTTTCACTGTTCAGTAGTTAGCCTTGCGCAGCTGGCAAATCTCTCTAGAGAATCCATGATTCGCTTCAAAATCATGTTAAATAAGTGTCAACTAACAAAATCAGACTAAATAACTAAGGTACAGGTAATCTTGTACAATTTACCAATAAATATACAAGATAGGTGTCCATTTAACACTCTTCAAACTAGTTTAGTTTTATCTGTAATACTGAGGGATGTAAAACATGTAACACTATGGTGCGCAATGAATATGTGGCGAATATTTATAAATCTACTGCAGTGTTTAGAATTCTCAATAAAGCGTATATATTTACTGATAATTTATGTTGCATGGTATTGTCTGTGAATCAGCACTTATTGGGACGTAGTAATTTTAACATCAAGGCTCGATATTTAAAGAAATTGAATATATGGGTAACCTGTTGCAGAGTGTGAAGCAAAATCCAGTTTTATGGATTTGGAACTTGCTATCTTATGACAATTTTTTGGTTTATGCCATGACTTTTTTTAGAGAAACCCATGTCCAGGGTTCTCGTTTTCATTTAAAAAATGTTAATAAATCATTTTCCAGTCGACTCTCTCTTAACGGACACCATGCTTTATGGACGGGGGGGAGTGAGGGGTAGTCCTCGATTATATAAGGCAGCCTTGCAAAGGGCAGGGTTTTTTGTGCCATTTTGGTCAGTAAACGGGTGTAAATTTCCCCCATTGTGATCTGAAACAGAGAATGGTTCGCAAGACAATCACAAAGAGTATGTTAAAACACTTTTGCCTAAAACTTAAAATGTTCAGAAATTCCATACCGGTGAGGTGTCACCAACCAGTTCTGGGTAATGTTTATGATTAGTTGAAGCAAATTTCCCCGCGGGGCATGACCAATCAGAAGTACTGCCCAGATCTGGATAGTGATACGTCTTCTGCATGGCGGGAATTTCTGCGGTCTTTCATACCCACAATCGGTGACAAAATTGTTGAGACATTGCACTTAAATAGGGTGACTTCGGAGAACAAAAGAATCCTCCCCTGTCCCCTCCATTCAAAGGTGGGTTGTTTGTTGTCTTCTATAGGTAGCTAGAACAAGGGCCCAACATTATACGGAGGGGATGGGGGAGGAAAGCTATATTTCCTCCTTTTGAAGTTCATAAAACGTAAAAAAGCCTACTTTTGGGCGAAGTGTCTCAACTCATTTTGTCGCCGATTGTAGTCTCATTCTCGTCCCCAGAGCCTCCTGGGGGCCTGAGCATAAGGACAGGGAGGCTCTGGGGACACAGGATTTGAAGTCCTAGATTTTAGTACTTCCAATCATTTTTGATTATCTACAACATTTCTGATAACGTTCACTTGCTCTTGCCGAAGTGTCAATGACTGTTAATTTATGTGATTCAAAGCTTTCAAAAGAGAATCCCCCAACTTAATTTTGAATCGGAAATGACCGCAAGTCCTAAAATCTAGGACTTCAAATCCTGTGAATCCTGTGTCCCCAGAGCCTACTGGTCCTCGTGCTCAGGCCCTCAGGAGGCTCTCGGGACGACAATGCCTAGTCCCAGTTCGGTGTCTTCCCAGGCCTTCTCGGTCAGTGCATTTCGGTGACATATCGGAGACGAACGTGACCCGAAACGCATAAGTCGAGGGGAATAATGATGTGTAGGGACTAGGCAACGCTCGTTCCGTTCCGTCATTTCGCGGGGAAACCGTACGGGTGATGGTGTCGCAAAATGTTGGCCATTTTCTCAGAAGTTCATTTGCGTGAGCTTGAGAATCTCAGGCTATACGCAAATGAGTTATAGCTAGCCAGTCAGTGTAGCGAACGATGTTTTCACTCGCGAGGCAAAAAACAAAATGCTACTTCAATGCCTAAAAGTACAGTCCTAATGTCTATGGACGTTACTAGTCTCTACACCAACATACCACACGAAGAGGGTGTAGCCACCGTATGTCACGCATACGAAGATTTTTATGGAGACAAAGCCCCTATACCCACCAAGTACCTTAGAGAAATGCTCTACCTTATATTAACAGAAAACTCGTTTCAATTTTGCGGTAGCAACTACCTACAGCACCCATGGAACAGCTATGGGAACAAAGATGGCGGTTGCTTTTGCAAACATCTTCATGGCCAGAATAGAAAAACAAATATTGAGTCAGAGTTGCATCAAACCGCTTTTTTGGAAAAGGTATATTGCGATGTGTTTTCGCTATGGAACACAAGTCTAGACAAAATAGAAAGTTTTGTGAAAAAGGCAAATAACTTTCACTCTACGATAAAATTCACGGCTGAGATGTCAGAAACAGAGATCACGTTCTTGGACACAAAAGTGTACAAAGGAGTAAGATTCGATGAGGAATCAATCCTAGACGTGCAAACACATTTACAAACCAACAGAAACATTCCAGTACGCGAACTTCTACTCATGTCACCCACCAGGCATGAAAAAAGGCTTCATCAAAGGAGAAGCGCTCAGGCTTCTAAGGACTAATTCCTCGCAGATCACATTTGAGAGGAATATCAGAAATTTTCACAACCGCCTGTTAGAAAGAGGCTACCCTGCCGCTTTTTTAAAATAGTACCTCTCTAAGGTAAAATTTGCTGACAGGAAAACAGTCCTACAACAGAGAAACAAATCCGCACGCAAAAAACTTCTACCTTTTGTTACACAATACCACCCGGCTTTACCTAGCCTGAAGAAAATACTTATGGGTAAGTGGCACCTTATACAAAACCAGCAACGACTAAGAGAAATCTTTAAGGAGCCTCCCCTCATATCTTATCGCAAGGGAAAATCTCTCAAAGACCTACTAGTTAGAGCGAAGCTCTGAAGGTCATACTGCTTCGAATACAACTTAGTGCAGGAGTCGTGTGATGCCCGTCGCTTATTTTTAACCATCAAAAATGACGTTTTTTCCATGTGAGTTAAACTATACGTTTAGTCAAACCTCTGGAGCCCAGCGGTGTGTGCCGAGTCTCGCTCCAAGTTGCCCGCCTTTTATAACACGGGTCAGCAGTCCGAAAACTTGAATAGAATAACTTCGTAACTTATATTTCATTGTCACCGAAGAAAGCACAAAAATAGAAAGGGAAAAAGCAAGTAAGCTTAAGTTGCACTTTTAGTTAGAGCTGAGTTTGAGATTCTTCACACTGGCCATTTCACTCACATTTTTGTCGTTTTCATCGGAGTGCTTCAGGGATCATGAAAAGACTGTTGAGTGCTTGTTCCTACCCCCCGGGTTTTAGAGCTATTTTTTTAGAAACAAGGTAAAAGATGATTTCTTTAATGCATGACCAGAATTAAAATACCCCATATTCTCTGGTGCTCTCTGTAAGCACATGTGCCCCACAATGGCTTGTCTGGTCATTTTGTTACTGTGCTGTTCCTGTGTGCAATCATACGGAGGAAAATCATACAAGTCAATTTTTTTCGTTGTTTCATACCGTATTTGCAGGAACACGGTTGTGTTGAGATCCAGAAATTTTGCTACCATGGCAACGTGACACAACGGCTTCTCCTCTCTGTCGACTTTCAGTTGAATCTAATAACCATTGCTTGGCTATTTTAGATACAAATGCACTCGCGGCTGGTTAATTTGTCAAATATTCTTACAAACAGAAAATGTTTACCATGATCTTGGGTAATAGGCTAAATACTTGCCCAGAACGTTAATCTAACTTCAAAGAAACGCTCAGTACCCTTTTGGAAATCTTAACAAGATTCTGATCTATTATTTCATGTGTTGCGTAATGTTTTGTTTCCTCTTTTTTTTTTTCGTTTTTTCCTACCATATTTGCAGGAACACGGTTGTGTTGAGATCCAGAAATTTTGCTACCATGGCAACATGACACAACCGCTTATAGTAGTATAGGAGGGATGAAATTATCCCCTTTTTTGGGGGAGGATTCTCATTAAGGTGGGGAGGAACACATTAACACCGATGACGTCATAGGCTATTGTCCTCATCTCATGAATAAAATGTGGTGGATTTAATTAAGTATACTGGTTTGACCGGTTTGTCAGGGTCTATTTTTAGCCTGGTTGATATAACTGGTTTATTTTTGTTTTATGACATAACCTATTGTCTTGATCTCATGAATAAAATGTGGTGGATTTAATTAAGTATGCTGGTTTGACCGGTTTGTCAGGTTCTATTTTTAGCCTGGTTGATATAACTGGTTTATTTTTGTTTTATGACATAACCTTTTGTCTTGTACTCATGAATACATTCTTTTCTCCCGTCTCTGTCAAAAAAGATTGTTGAGATCCAGAAAGTTTGCTACCATGATAACGTGACGTCACACTTCTCTCTAGTTAACGTAACACTGAAATAAATCAAGGTGAAGCTTCTGCTATGTCAACTGACACTTAAGCGCGGTTTTAAGTTTAGTGTTGTAAAACCGAAAACAACGTTTTATCTATTTCTAAAAAATCTAAAACTTAAAGAAAAAACATTTAAAAAATACAAACTAAATACAAACAGTCAAAAACATGAAAATTTGCAAGCAGTGAAAATATGGCTTCACAATTATGAGATAATTTTTAAGGTTTTTTGCCAGATTGAATATAAATACTGACGTACTTTGATTGATACCATTTTTGGAAATGAAAGGCTTAAAGCAATGTAAATGATTATTATAATCAATCTCTTGAAAAGATGAGTAAAGGTAAAATACTTTGTATAGACCGGGAATAAAATGAAGGGGAATAAATTAGTATCTATGTCGTAATAACCTATTGTCTTGAACTCATGAATAAATTGCCGTGGAATAAATTAACGTCGCTGACGTCATAGGCTATTGTATTGATCTCATGAATAAAATGCGGAGGATTCTCATTAACTGATCATTATCCAGAAAAACCAGTTCCAAAAACAGGTTTTTTCGCAATACCATTTTGAACTCGCCTAGACTTGCCCCATTGTTTTCACAAAACCTTCGACACTGATTGGTTAATGAAGAATCTATTCTATCTTTCAAATAAAAGCGGGCTCTCCCTTCAGCATTTTATTATTGTCACAAACTCCAGTAACTAATATTTTTGAGCGGATAGCTTCCAAACATACTAGTCAACGGTCAGAAAACAGTACTCGACTTAAAACTATTCACTGTGACCAAAGATAAATATTTTTATTCTACAAAACCATTGATTCTGTTTTGTCAATATAATTCAACCTTCAAACGTTTCTAGACTGTGGTATCGAAACAAAACGAACGCAAGCGAACTGTATTTTATTATTCATCGCAAACTAATTTAATATACACTGAGCCAACATGAACGCTTGTCGCATAAATTATCCACGGGAATCAACTCAATTATATATAAACAATGGTGGGATTAATACGCGCGTGCTACAACCAGACTACACCTTTGTTTCGGTTAAAAAATACATTTATTGATAACAAAACCATCAAAGTGTTACAACAATAGATTAATAGACAGAGTTCCGGCTTAGTCTTCGGGAACAGTTTGTTTGACAAACAGTCGATTGAGTAAGAATTTCCGCTTATCGATGGCAAGTTCTGTCGATTCCAGCCAGTCATATCCTTCTGTGTCTTTGAGATCTTGGCGGCTTTCCATCACTTTTCGGAATGTCGGATCTTTCTTCCTTGCATGCATGCACTGTAAAAACTCTAAGAACACTTTTCTCAATTCCTTTCTATATACTGGAAGCAAAGCATTTTCAGCTTTAATGCGGGCCACTTCAGGCGACTCTCCGTTTTGTTCATACTCGTTGATCAGAGCTTCGAGCTGGGCTTCGTGGCGATTACAAACTTCATTTTGAATGCGTGACCAAGGATCTACATGCTCCTCCTCCTCCTCTCCGGAAGAGTCCATTTCTTCGCTAGATTGAGATCTTTGAGATGATTGTTCGCTTTCTTGTGAGCTTTCAATATCGTCGTCATCATCTTCAAAATTTCCATATCCTTTTTGAACGAAATGATTATAATTGCTGAACATTGTGATCCGAACTGCACGAGGTTTAAGAACTGACTGAATCAGAAACAGCGGCTTACTTCTTTTATAGCTATCGATGGAGGCACGGCTGCAAAGCACAACGGAACTCTATGAACTTTCATTGTACCCCTCCTGTACCCCTCCTGTGCCCTTCCTGTACCCCTACTGTATCCATCCTGTACCCTTCCTGTACCCCTACTGTACCCCTCCTGCACCCCTACTGTACCCCTCCTGTACCCCTACTGTACCCTTCCTGTACCCCTACTGTACCCTTCCTGTACCCCTACTGTACCCCTCCTGTACCCCTCCTGTACCCTTTCTGTACCCCTACTGTACCCTTCCTGTACCCCTACTGTACCCTTCCTGTACCCCTCCTGTACCCCTACTGTACCCTTCCTGTACCCCTACTGTACCCTTCCTGTACCCTTCCTGTACCCCTCCTGTACCCCTGAATTCTCTTAAGTACTCCCCACCATTGTAAAATAACTATATATTAAATGATTCTGTTAACTGTGAGTCATTTTTCATAAGCAGTCATGCCTCGAACGTTTCCTCGAATTTGTCCACTATGTGGCAAACCTGGTGTGTCCAACTTGAGTTCTCATCTTGAAATTGTCCATGACTTAACCGGGCTAAGACGAACACGACTCTTAAAAGAAGCTAAGGTTTCTTGGGAATCAAAAAGAGAATATATTTCTACAAGCGTCGACTTACCTCGTTGTTCATCTAGTTCCACGAGAAAAATATGTGAACCAAGAAAAAAAAGAAGACCAGTGAATGAAACGCCGAAAACTTCTTCTACTGCGAAGAAGGTAAAGCTTTCCCGTGATGTTTCCTTGGCAACCGAGCCTTATCCAGATTTTATGTTTCGCCATAAGTTCTCACTCTTTGTGGTTGGACCAAGTCAATCAGGGAAAACAGTTTTCGTAGAACAGATGCTAACGAGAGATCGTATTGTCTACGAAACCAACAAGCCCCGTCGCATTTTATGGTATTACAGTCAGTGGCAAGATAGATACGAAGCTTTGAAATCGGCGATCGGAAAGGACATTAAATTTTTTCGTGGCCTTCCCACATTTCAAGAGGATCTGCGAGAAATTGACCCAAAATACAACAACGTTACAATCTTTGATGATCTAATGGCAGAAGCGATCGAGAGCCCCATCGTTTCTCGGTTGTTTACCCAAGGTCGCCATAGAAATGCCAGCGTCATACTGCTCCTTCAGAATATTTTCCCCAAGGGAAAATTTAACACCGATATCAGTCGGAATGCACAGTACATGGCTCTTTTCCGAAGTCCTAGCGATCGGAAACAAATCGGAATTGTTGCTGAGCGTATGTTTGATAAGAACCGCCAACGATTCATGACAGCTTATTATCATGAAACAGAGAAGCCTTACGGTTACATCTTTGTAGATAATAAACCGGACACGGCGGCAAATAAGCAAGTATTGAGTGACATTTTCGGCTCTTGTCGTCGATATCCGACTATTAACAAAACATTGCCTGCGAAGCTAGATCAGCAGTAAAATCGCCTCCTGTAGTCAAATCTTCCCCGCCAATTGTAAAAAGGTCACGGCCATTTCCTTTTGATGCAGTCTGGTCTGAAGCAGCCTATCCCGTTGTACAAAATTATATGCAAGGAGCGCCCCGATGCCAAACCCTACCAAAAGACTTTGGGATCACGGAAATGTACCGCATTGCCAGACATCTTTATGATCCGTATCTTCCATCGTACTCGTATGGAAATTACTGGCCTGTGAAAATAAGACACTATTGCGATGGAAAATCGAAATGGATTTATTTACACAAGGACGATCCCAGCGTAAGATCTTTCCTAGAAAAGAACCAAACGAATGCTCGATAGACCAATAACAAATTAATTAAACGGTTGTCGATGCACTTTGCAGTGGAGTATTTTATTTTTCAATAGACCTAACAATTGTGTATGAAACGGTACCTAATCTTTTTGTTAGAGGACTTAAGGTGACTCGACCCAGTTTTTTGGGGGGTACCATCCTACTTTGAAGCTCTCTGGTATCCCCACCTTTACTTTTATCGTAAGTCTAACACATAGAATGGATAACATATAGATCAATCCACAATATAACGTAAAATTTTTGGCGATCGGAGTAAATGTCACGTGGTTATAATGCCACGCCCCTTTGAGGTCTGAGTCGAAAATCTGCTGTTGCCGGCATTTTTTTGTGAAAATCTCTCGGCTACACATAGTGCGCATTAGTGCCTTGCGCTGAAAAGAGTTTCACCAAAATAGCAAAGACCCAATTCGAGAAATTCAGCGGTTTCCAAATTTAGGTCATAATTTATGCGAAAATGATAAGCAAACTTTACACGATTATATCTAATAAACTATGAGACCGATCACTTTATTTTGGGGATCGTTATAACAGATGGGTCCTTGCAAGTCAGCAAAAAGCTTTAGAGCCTTGTAAATGCGCTCGATTTTGAGCAAAGCAAACATATAGAAATTATAGTTTTCGCAATTTGTTGACGTTTATCAGCGTTTAAGAGTCCTTCTCACGAAAAAAGCATTTTCTTAAAAAATCGTAATTTTTTTTCCTTCAAATTTTTTCAGGGCCACAATTGATTAACTAACTACCCGGACTGTGAATTTCTTGGTCATTGAAAAACTGTGACATTATTTTCTATAAGCCCAAACTTGAGTAAACATTGAAGATTTTAAGCGTTTTGGCTGAGTTTGTGCCTTGGGAGTTGTCTATTGTTTCTAGTCTGTCATGATACAGCATTCTTGTTCAGCGCGCGTGCAATGACCACGCTTGGCTGACTTGCGAATGCTCACCGAGATATGATAATTTAGTATGAGAAAATAGAAGGGATTCCCGTCACGAGTTATTTTAATTATTGGCTTGCATTAAACCTATGAAAAAATGATATTTTTTTAATAGTAAGTAGATTTAGTGTGTAGCACTTCTTGATTTTTTTTGCAAAGGCACAAGAAGCACGAGAATTGATTGAGAATTGTGAGTTAAACCTCTATGTATCACACGATGGCCTGTCTCACTGTACCACAATTATCATATCTCGGTGAGCATTTGCAAGTCAGCCAAGCGCGGTCATTGCACGCGTGCTGAACAAGAATGCTGTATCATGACAGACTAGAAACAATAGACAACTCCCAAAACGCTAAAAATCTTCAATGTTTACTCAAGTTTGGGCTTATAGAAGATAATGTCACAGTTTTTCAATGACCATGAAATTCACAGTCCCGGTAGTTAGTTAATCAATTGTGGCCCTGAAAAAATTTGAAGGAAAAAAAACTACGATTTTTTAAGAAAATGCTTTTTTCGTGAGAAGGACTCTTCAACGCTGACAAACGTCAATAAATAGCAAAAACTATAATTTCTATATGTTTACTTTGCTCGAAATCGCGCGCATTTACAAGGCTCTAAAGCTTTTTGCTGACTTGCAAGGACCCATCTGTTATAACGATCCCCAAAATAAAGTGATCGGTCTCATAGTTTATTAGATATAATCGTGTAAAGTTTGCTTATCATTTTCGCATAAATTATGACCTAAATTTGGAAACCGCTGAATTTCTCGAATTGGGTCTTTGCTATTTTGGTGAAACTCTTTTCAGCGCAAGGCACTAATGCGCACTATGTGTAGCCGAGAGATTTTCACAAAAAAATGCCGGCAACAGCAGATTTTCGACTCAGACCTCAAAGGGGCGTGGCATTATAACCACGTGACATTTACTCCGATCGCCAAAAATTTTATGTTATATTGTGGATTAATCTATATGTTATCCATTCTATGTGTTAGACTTACGATAAAAGTAAAGGTGGGGATACCAGAGAGCTTCAAAGAAGGATGGTACCCCCCCAAAAAAACTGGGTCGAGTCACCTTAAGCATGATTGTTTAATTTGCGAGAGCACAAAAGAGGCATGAGTCAGATGCAAATTACTACTGGTTAACAAAGCGTGTAACAAGACATCAAGATAAAGTAATTTTATAGAGAGAGCACTGTTTGCAATAGATTGAAATAAAGAGTTTGAGCTCCATTTTTTGCGTCTGAGTTTTGTTTATAACCGAATTTTTAGTTAGGCAAGCGAACTTGTTTCCTTAGCAAAGCGATTGCAAGAGTAATATGCTGAACGGAGAGCGCACTTTTATTTGGAAGATAGAATAGATTCTACAATCACCGCACTATGAATAAAGACAAAAGACTCTTGCGTCATCGACGCTAATTTATTCCACCGCATTTTATTCATGAGTTCAAGACAATAGGTTATTACGACATAGATACTAATTTATTCCCCTTCATTTTATTCATGAGTACAAGACAATAGAGTATTACGACATAGAAGCTAATTTATTCCACCGCATTTTATTCATGAGTTCAAGACAATAGGTTATGTCATAAAACAAAAATAAACCAGTTATATCAACCAGCATAAAAATAGAACCTGACAAACCGGTCAAACCAGTATACTTAATTAAATCCACCACATTTTATTCATGATATGAAGACAATAGCCTATGACGTCATCGGCGTTAATGTATTCCTCCCCACCTTAATGAGAATCCTCCCCAAAAAAACGGCCTAACCGGTGTACCCTCTACTACTGCATATCCTCTCTGTCGACTTTCAGTTGAATTTAATAATCATTGCTTGGCGATTTTAGATGCAAATGCATTCGCAGCTGGTTAATTTGTCAGGTATTCTTACAAACAGAAAATGTTTACTATGATCTTGGGTAATAGCTAAAGTACTTGCCCAGAACGTTTAATCTAACTTCAAAGAAACGCTCAGTCATCTTTGGAAATCGTAACAAAAGGTCTACTTGGGAGTTAGGGGTGGGAGGAAGGCACATGAAATGTCCGAATTCGCCTTATGAAAATACGAAACACAATTTAGTAAACATGAAAACTTGATCGACGGGCCACCTGTATCTTCCATGCACTCGATTAGCCTCACGACGTTTTTTGTTTGTTTTTGTTTGAATGAATTGTCCGAATTTTCGTGAGCTTCTTAAATTAGTAGGAAACAGTGTTTTTAAGGATCTGCTCGATCGATAGCAAAATATCCGAGTTACAGAAAGAGAAACCTCTAAAGATTCTGATCTATTATTTCATACATAATTTTTCTTTATAGCAAAAGTTAATATCCGGTTTTTCATTAGCTATATCTTATAAAATAAGGCCTCCCTTCTTTTCAGCTGTCTGTAGTTTTGCCAAAATCTTTAACTGAACTGAAATCTATTGACTTTCAGTTTAATACTCGTTTGCTGGGTCAGTTTACATTGCATTATGCTCGCTGTTGGTAAAAATTTCCTTACAAACAGAAAACGGTTACCACGATCTCGTTGAGTAATAGCTATAGGGAACATTGGACTAATGAATTTTTAATAATATCTTGTCAAAACGAGTATTCGGGGTAGGGGCTAAAAATGTCGAAAGCTTGCCTCTATTACTTCTTTCCCAAATTTACCCGTATGAAAATAGGCAACAAAATTCAACAAATATAAAAAATTGAATGAGATAAAAAAAAAAAATAGATATATTTGCTCTAGTTAATTCTAGTTAATACATTTCAAACTAACCAAAATAAAATTCGTTGGTGTGCGCTTGAAGCACAGAGGGTAAGACTGATGTCTCTTCGTCTCTCGTTAAACGAGAAAATAGTCGACAGGAGTAAAAGCGACACAGTGAACATGTTTTATAAACATAAACACTATGCTTCTGCATATGTGCATACAGTTTTTCCTTCAGTTCTTTCCTGCTTTTCCCTCCAAATCAGCAAAGGTAGTCGATGGATGAAATGAAATTGAACGCTTGTGCTGAGATCAATAACAAACAAAACTATTTGCCTTCTTATTTTTTATTGAATTTGGTACTGGAAATAACATGAGCGAAGAATAATTCCTTACGAAAAATAGTAAACAAATTTAAAGATAAAAGTAAAAGGACTTATTCGGATTATTTGTTTCATTTGTTATAACTTTTCTCCAGCTGGAGCGATTCCGCTCACTTAAACATGGAACACCCACGCATCATCTTTCTAAAAAGTGTTTTCGGATAGTCAAATTTAAGGAAAGGAAAGAAGTCCATTCGATTACAAAAAACTACCGCACAGTCAACTTACGTATGATGGAAAACTTAAGCGAAGCGGGTTCAGTTCTTTTCCGAAACATAAAACGATTTTTAATAGGGCCGGAATAACATCATCCAGGTACGTTTTGGAAGTATATAAATCAGTTGTCGAATTGGAGGCAAAATCTTGTTTCTCTTGATAAGATATTTTCAAACTAGCAAAGAATGACCAGTCACTTGTTTTTCTTAAGTGAGGCGTTACAACCAGTCTAAGCGGCCTCATATTCGTTAATAAAAGAAAAATACATGAAAATAAATTTATATGCTAGTTACTACTGGTATCACATTTAAATTTGCATTTCTGCATGACATTGTGTAATACGGAGTGAATTCATTTTTATTTAGAACCCCGAGGCCTTGATGTATATATTGACCTTGCTAGCGCTATCGCTCGGTTAATACATCTTCTTTAGTTCTTCAGACTAAAAAAAATCTTTTAGGCTTTTGTGGATAAAATTTCTATTATAAGACACCAGAATTTTCCTATCTACGTGGTGTGTACTGCTCGTTACACCTGCGGGAATACTGAAATGGATCCGATATCGAAACGATTCAATTTCGAAGGATAATTCATTCATGATAGAATGGGCGTGCGCCTTGTTTTACGTTAACTGATACGAAAAACAGGCAAAATTGACATTTCAAGCAATTGCGTTTTCTGCCCTTCTTTATAAAATAAATAACACTACTGCATGATCAGAGCTGAAATACTCCATTCTCTGTTACTCCCTGTAAGCACATGCGCCCCACAATGGCTTGTCTGGTCATTTTGTTGATGTGTTGTTTCTCCGTCCTGTTTTGTTACCGCTTTTTTTTTCGTTTTTTTTTCTACCATATTTGCAGGAACACGGTTGTGTTGAGATCCAGAAATTTTGCTACCATGGCAACGTGACACAACGGCTTGTCCTCTCTGTTGACTTTCAGTTGAATTTAATAATCATTGCTTGGTGATTTTAGATGCAAATGCATTCGCAGCTGGTTAATTTGTCAGGTATTCTTACAAACAGAAAATGTTTACTATGATCTTGGGTAATAGCTAAAGTACTTGCCCAGAACGTTTAATCTAACTTCAAAGAAACGCTCAGTACTCTTTGGAAATCGTAACAAAAGGTCTACTTGGGAGTTACGGGTGGGAGGAGGGGACATGAAATGTCCGAATTCGCCTTATGAAAATACGAAACACAATTTAGTAAACATGAAAACTTGATCGACGGGCCACCTGTATCTTCCATGCACTCGATTAGCCTCACGAAGTTTTTTGTAGCTTTTGTTTGAATCAATTGTCTGAATTTTCGTAAGCTTCTTAAATTAGTAGGAAACAGTGTTTTTAAGGATCTGATCGATCGATAGCAAAATATCCGAGTTACAGAAAGAGAAACCTCTAAAGATTCTGATCTATTATTTCATACATAATAATCTTTATAGCAAAAGTTAATATCCGGTTTTTCATTAGCTATATCTTATAAAATAAGGCCTCCCTTCTTTTCAGCTGTCTGTAGTTTTGCCAAAATGTTTAATTGAACTGAAGTCTATTGAGTTTCAGTTTAATACTCGTTTACTGCGTGAGTTTACATGGCATTATACTCTCTGTTGGTAAAAATTTTCTCTCAAACAGAAAACGGTTACCATGGACAGACACCTCAGTTACGAACTTTAATTACATCATTAAATTTTACCTATATAGTAAATGAGGGCTAAACTAAGCAAATGTAAATTTACATGGCAGCATCCTTCTTTTCTATGCTACTTCTACGCTGGCTGGTAACTTAATTTAAAATGCTTGTTTGTAATAGTCGTTGGGTAATTAACATTTCGCAATTTTTAGCAGTTAACTTTTTCAGTAAGATGCGAAGATCATGAAAGCCTTTTATCAGAATGCCCTGTTCAACGTCGCAGTGCTGCGGTGGCGAAAAGCTGCATTTCTTTTCAACAGCCAAGTATATATATTCACCATTCAACAAGAGACAAACTCTATGAATTCCGATGTCCTCAACCGGCCTAATGGACACCTCCAAAAATTTTAAAATATGTTTCGATTGATACGTTACTGAGGTCAACTATTAGCATCGGTATATAGTTTTACCTTTAGCAGCAAGAATAAAGATATATTGTTAAATAACCTTCAGTCCAAAAAAATATAGTTCTTATCATCAATTAACAAGCGGCACCTGAACGTCCCACATATTAAACAAACTGGTACCAAAAAAAAAAATGCAGAATCTGATGGCGTTATTGTGACAGCAATTAGCGCAAGGAGAAAAAACAGAGATGTTTAAAATTCATCATAGTTTTAATTTAGCAGTCAGCTCGCTTTTACTGCAAATACTGCTGGATCGTTTAAGGTCAACTTAATTTCGTGTATGATTATCCTGCGAATACAGCCATCTCTGGCGAGGTGCGAGGATACAAGGCTCTATTAATAGAAATTAGTGGCGTTTTCAGCATTGTTCGCCAAAACGGCAACGAGCTTTTTAATATTTTCCTTTCCTCTACATTGGCAGGACACTGAAGTCAATCACTGAAAGGACACGCGTCAATCGAGCTCAAAGTATTAATTAACTTGTCATATTACAAAATTGTAAATATGTTTATGAAACCTACAAATTCTACCCGGGAACTTCCTTTACGTAGACACACCCTGTTCACGAAAATAATGCTGTAATATTGCAGAGATAAGTAACATGATTTCCTCACTCATTTTCTGCTTCGTCGTTGGCGCGGTTTTAACAGCCGAAGAAGACTCTAGATCTGCCTACATCAAAACGCAAGAGAACAAGCGTTTACATGGCTATGTTGTCAAGAGAATTGATTCTACGGATGAAATGTCGTGCAGTCAAGCGTGTTTAAGACATTCTTGGTGTACCTCTTCTAACTTCAAAGAGTCCTCGGGCAATTGTGAACTGAACAAGCATGAGTCCTCTACAACTGATGATGACACCAAGCTCACTGATAATCCAGGCACAACGTTTTCAATGTTTCTTAAGGTAAGAAAAGTTCTGAATTTTCATTGCTTGGACAACAAGGGCGTGCGTGTGCAGACGAGCCTTATTTCCGCGTGCAAGAAGAACTAGACTCCTGCACCCAGGATAAGGCAACAACTGTTAAAGCGAAGCTAATTAAAAAAATAGAAATTTGGTAAAACAGTAAATTCGAGTTGTTGTAAAAAAAGCGCACGCATTTCAGTCATGTTTCGTATGGAAGCGAGCCATGTTTTCCCTTTCCCAAATTTTTCAGTTCCGCAAAATCATTATCAAAGGCAATGTTTTCTTCCCTAACAAGAGGCTTACATGTTTTGAAAATAAAGTTAAGAGAAGTATAGACTGCAAACAACCATAAATGTTAAAAAAGATGAACGCAGAGGCAACAATTTATCAGTGGAATTTTTATGTTCAACATTAGAGTTGCTTTGTGCCGTTAAAAATGTTGAGGGATCAGTCTAGCTACCTGCAAGAATCCGTCGCTAGTACGTCGCCCTCCACTGCGCGAGAAAGACTGGCTAAAACATGGCCTTTCTGGTATAAAAAGCTGTAGGAAGTCGATGGAAAACGATGTATATAATTTTAGCTTAAGTAACATATGAACATTTTCCTCAGGGCTGCCTAATGGCTGGATGCCTTAACGGAGGTTCTTGTTTGTTCGACGAAGGGAAAGATGCGTTTGCTTGTTCATGCAGTCCGCAATGGAGAGGAGAAAAATGCGAAATGGGTAGGTCGAAACTGTTTTTGTTCCTTAAGTACCATAGACACTCTAGGAGAAGAGTGGAAGACGTACCCGGCTGAAAACGAAATCACACAACTTTCTATACTTTATACATGGCAAATGTTTTTAGAAGCCAGGAAAGAGTTATAATCTGCTGACTGGTTTTCTCTGGCAATGCAGTTGATATACAGTTCTCAGGGATTAATTTACATCCCTCGTAATATAAGAAAAGTATGTAACGGTATGAGACTTTGGCGTTTACCATTAGCCTCGCGGAATGTGGAAAAGACATTGCATTGGATCTGGTAAAATTTTGTGTGACGCTCAAATTAAGGTAAGTGATACCTAACACTTGGATCAACTCGACAACTACTGAACACATAACGGACGTTTTTATATAGAGAATTTGCATCCATATCCATCAATTAGATAATTATTTTTGCTTTAGAGGAAGTCTCCCTAAAAGCGGTCCACTCGATTTCGCGACAAAAAATAGTTTTCCCTTATTTTTTTGTCGGCGAAGAGGCTTTAGTAGGTATGTACTAAAATCGCTATTCTTATTCTTAGCTCTGCTACAAGCCAAAAACGAGTTGAGTCCGTCTCAGCCTCTCAGAGAGCGATTCAAAGACTAAAATTGATGGATTTTGAAAAGAGCGTTGCAAGCAAACGAATGCCCGCACAAAAAATCTGTTCGATCCGGTGTTTTTAGTTAACCTTCGATAGTTCACAGGCTAAATAAAAATATCTTTGATCAAAACATGTTCAAGTTACAGCGGTTCAAAGACTACCTATTTTGCAGGCTTAATGCGAACCCTGAAGGTAAGGAAGATTTGACGGAAAATATCTCAAACGTTGCGGCCTAAATCTGGTATAAAAATCATATCAAAGTAAAGTTTTAAGCTTATTTTTTTGGTTTGTAGGCTCAGACTTGCGGGTATCTTCTTGGATTGCAACCAACAGTAGATTGCAATCTGCCATTTTGTGTATTTGCATAATTATTGGCCGTGTCAGATGTCACGGTCGTACCGGTTAAAAGTTCTATGAAATTGCTTCTTTCGATACTTGAATTCGTCTCAATAAAAGGGGGTGGTAGGCCTACACGACTTTTACCTCATGCCAAAATGCTGCTTATTCCAATAAAGTTGTTTTTATCTGCTGGGTAGATTATGCTCTGGAAGGTTCTGTATTTATACTGAGCAAATGTGATTTTAGCCGCATGTTTCACGCTGAGAGGTCATGACATTCATATCGATTGACTGTAGTTATTGTTTTCTGGTCGGCAGGATTTGCCCTCTGATGCAAGCGCATTTTCTTTGACCTCTTTTGAAGAGTAAAGCTTTTTTATTACGGCTGAATAAGGGTTCCAATTTTCTCCAAAGTGCCTTCTGGATCTGAATAACTAAGCGATTTTCTTTAGTCCGTGAGTGTGATGTTTTTCTGCAATGCTGTATCACGCTGGGCCCAGCTCGTCAGTCTTCTTTGTAAAGAAAACGGTTACACAGGTTATGATTACGCTTACTTGTATTGTTCCTTTTGTGCAGATATTGACGAGTGCACCCGCGGAACTCACAACTGCCACAGTTCACTTGCTTCATGTACAAACACAGCGGGATCCTTTAGTTGTTCATGTAACAATCCTTACAGTGGAGATGGCAGAACTTGCTATCTACTGGTATCAGGTAATCAAATCGCCGAATATTAGGAAGATGTCCATTTACTAGACCTCTATTCGGAGATGGCAAAACTTGCATTAATATTCCATACTGTAATTAATCACCAAGAATTAGGAATGTGTTCATTCACTAGACCCTTATTTACTCTCGTTAGAAGCACGGCACTCTAACCTTGATTGTTTAAAGAGGGTTCAGTTTAATGCAAATATTACCCAGATCTCTTGTCGATGAAGCCGAAGGCGAGATCTGGTCAATTAATCAAGAGGGAAATTACATTTTCTTTTTTTTTAGCCACTCAAACGACCTATATACAGTGAGGGAGTGACATGAGTATTGTCATCAGCGCGTGCTATGGTTTCTGCAATTCATTCTTTACCATATCTGTTTTTTCTGATCGTTTGCCCTTTTGCTTGCCTCATTACGACGCACGAATACGTGTATCGATCATGAGCGGCTTTGCGCAAGCCAAGGCCTATTGAAGAACAAGAGAATGGAAAAGTTTTCTTTTTAAGATTTCTAATGTAAGTGAATGCTTTTATCACAATAGTTTACTTACTAGTGACTTCTAGTGTGTACGGGTCGCATTGTCCATACATAGCCGGTTTGATTGTGCATGATACTCGTTTCGTAGCTGCGAAACTAAAAAACTGTGTGAGATTATAACATTGCGTGACAATTAAGATGGACACTTAATTATCGTGGTAGTGATCGGAATGTATATACCCTGGGTACCAGAGGTTTTTCTCTCGTGCGGTGGGAATTTTCGGTGTTGGCCGAAGGCCGCTAGAAACGTCTCTGCCACCCAGGGTAAAATGTATATCATTAAGGGATCAATTTCAATACCTTGTTTGTTAAGCTTGTTATCTTAATTTTTTAGTTAGTTGGGTTTAGATTTCGTGTGTACCTTTGGCAGTGAACTTTTCCTATTTGGAATAAACCCTTGAAACTGTGAAATCGTGAAGTTTCTGCGTTAGCATTCACGACAAAAGTGGCACCTCCGACGGGACCGTGAAAATAATGGAGAGGCTTATCGGAAAACTGAAAGCAAAACTACAGCTTTTGGAGCTCACCCACGAGAAGACAGAGGGTATTATTAGAACCGGGATCACCGAGAAAATTCGTCCACGTAAAGAAGCTTTACAGAGCATTGTTATCAGCGCGGAAGAAATGAAGAGAGAGGTCGAACAAGCCAAGCTTGAAGGTGGGGAGGCCTCACACAAACTTAAAGAATTTGGGAAAGAATTCGAATTGAAAGTCGACGCCGCAGATACGGAGATCAACCTTACTCGAAGAGCGTGTGAAACGAATGGTGGCTGATGCGGAGAATGAAGAAAGAGAAACAAAGGAGACCCTGTTGGCCCGCCAGCGTGAAGAACAATTAAAGTTCGAAAGACAGCAACTAGAGCAGAAGGCAGAGTTCGAAAAAGAAAAGGTTGCCTCTCCGAGTAAACAAAATGTCAAAAGAGAAGGAGATTCACCCGCGTGAAATCGCGAAATCCCGTAACAGAAGTTTTTACGTAGAAGACCAAGACCCAAATGCACCACGGGGGTGTGTTTTCTGCAATAACACCTCACACAAGCCTAGTGATTGTACAGTTATCTCAAGCGCCGCCGATAGGAAGAAATTTCTACTAGAGAAGAGGCTCTGTTTTAACTGCACTGGCCCTCATCGAGCAGCTCGCTGTCGAAGCCGAGGAAACTGCGCTCTCTGTAAGCAGAGGCATCACACATCTATCTGCGATCAGCCTACCCGACCTGCAAACGAAGGAGCTCCAATGACCGCCGCACACGTGGGGGAGAAAGTCTGCCACCCAGTAGTTATAATCAAGGTCAACGGAGTGAAATGCCGTGCGTTACTTGACACTGGGGGCACTGGATCGTACATATCAGCCTTCTTGGTGAATCTCCTGAAAGTAAAGCCTTCTCGCACCCTGACGCGTGGTATTAAAACAATCATGGGATTGGTCACCAAGCGCGTCGAGACCTACGATGTGAAGATATGCGATACACTAGAGAAGTGCATGCTACCAGTCTGCGTGACAAAAATCGAACAGCGTCAGCTACTAACCCTGGAGAATCCTAACTATCCTGAGATGCTGGGGGGCGATATCCACATCTTAAAGGTGTCCGAATGGAAGAAAACGACACAAAGGAACTCCTTCCCATCCATGTGATACTGGGGGCAAATGAGTACACGAAGATCAAGATGGTCGGTTATCGGCGCGCAGGAGCCGTTGGCGAGCCTATTGCCGAGCAGACCAGGTTCGGGTGGACGATAATGTCATCAGGTGCTGAAGTTGACTCTCAAAACATGTTCTTGACACAGACCTCAATTGGAGACTACGAAGAACTGTCCCGTACGGACGTATTGGGATTGCAAGACACGCCTATCGGAGATGAGGACGTTGTGCACCAGGAGTTCCTTGAACAGCTCAAACGTAGTCCAGAGGGATGGTACGAAACTGTGCTCCCTTGGAAAGGTGGCCATCCCCCCTTGCCTAATAATAAGTCCGGAAGCCTTAACTGCCTTGCCTCACTAGTACAGCGCCTAAAACGGAACGGCAAATTGGAAGATTATGATGCCATAATATAGCAGAAACTAGAAGAAGGCGTTGTTGAAGAAGCCGAAGAGCCCGCCCAAGTGAAGGAATTCTACATTCCTCACAAAGCTGTTATCAGAGAGAGTTCAGAGACAACGAAAATGCGAATTGTCTATGACGCCTCCGCCAGAGCCTATGATGCAGCTCCCTTCTTAAATGAGTGTGTGGAATCGGGATCCCCGCTGCAAAATCAGTTATGGAAAGTGCTAGTACGCGGACGTTTCAATGCAGTGGCTATTGCAGGAGACATACAAAAGGCGTTCCTACAAGTGCGTATCCTCGCAGAAGACCGAGATGCGCTGCGTTTTCACTGGATCACCTGAGAGTATCCCGAGCAAGTACGTACACTGCGATTCACACGAGCTCTGTTTGGCTTGGGCCCATCACCTTTTCTCCTCGGAGGAGGCATTCAGCATCACCTCAACATCTGTCGACCTGATTTCCCTGATGCTGTACCAGAGATTGAGCGGGGTCTGTATGTAGATGACTAGCTGATGGGAGACCAAACTGTTGAAAAGGAGTGGAAAATTAAAGCTACCTCCACGAAGATCTTCGGAAAAGCCTCGTTTAAGCTTCATAAATGGAACTCTAACGTCCGAGAGTTAGAAGCCTTCGGCGCACACGACAATGAAGGAGTGGTCACCTACGCAAAGGAACAGCTAGGAGTGAAGCCGGAGGAGTGTGGACTCCTTGGATTGAGGTGGAACAAAGACTCTGACACAATTGCAGTTACCTCCCCCCAAGAAATTGTAGTCACTACAAAGAGAGGAGTGCTGGGCAAAATCGCAAGGGTGTATGACCCCCTCGGCCTAGTCTCGCCTTTGACTTTAGAAGGAAAAATGTTGTACCGTGATGCCTGTCAAAAGAAGATGGCCTGGGATGCAGAGCTGCCTCAAGAACTTTTGAAGAGATGGCAGAACTGGGAAATGAAACTACCTGTTAAAACTGAAGTACATAGAGACCTAGTTCCAGCCAGAGAACCTATTCAAGCAATTGCACTTCCCGCCTTTGGAGACGCTAGCGCTCAAGGGGTCGCCGCAGCTGTCTATGCAGTGGTCGAACAAACGTCAGGGGTGAACCAAGGATTGGTAGCTGCCAAAGCACGCCTCGCTGAGCAGAGACTCGCCATTCCGCGCCTGGAATTGGTTGCAGGCCACATGGCAGTTAATTTGATGACCAACGTTCACGATGCTCTGACCGGGTACCCAGTAAAGTCACTAAATACCTGGCTTGACAGCACTGTTGCCCTCCACTGGATTAGAGGCGCCAGCGAATACAAGCAATTTGTTGGAAACCGTGTCCGCAAGATAAAAGAAAAGGAGTCAGTCATTTGGAGACACGTGCCGACACAAGAGAATCCTGCAGATCTGGGGAGTCGAAGCGGACCAGTTAACAAAGAGAATGTGCTATGGTGGGAAGGACCAAATTGGCTGAAGAATCCAGCTGGCTGGCGCCCATGTATTGTAACAACTGCAACCCCAGAGTCTGAGGCAGAAGCGAAAGCAACCAAGCAAGTGTTCGCCTTAGCTGTGAATGGAACGAAATCGAATGTGTTTGATGAATTTCTATCGAAGAGAAGCCTTTGGCACTGTTTGAGAGGAGGAGCGTGGGTCCAAAGGTTCATCAACAACACAAGGAACTCCGAGCACAAGAGGAAGACAGGCGCTCTCACCACAGAGGAGATAAACTACCAGAAGCTTCTCTGGGAGAAGAAAACACAAAAGAAGTGTGCCGGATTGGAACAGTTCGAAGACGATAAGCTGAAACTTGATGGTGCTTTGGAATGTCGCGGAAGGATCCAAGGTGATTACCCAGTCTACCTACCTGACAATGAGATGTACACTAAGAAGTTCGTGCAGCATGCCCATGAAGCCACTCTACACGGGGGAGTGAGCTTAACCATGGCCAAAGTGCGAGAGACACATTGGGTCCCCAGATTGCGCCAGCTCGTCAAACGCCTAATTAAGCGCTGTTACGGATGCAAGAGGTTTCATGCTGTCGCATACTCCAACCCCCCTCCAGGAAAGCTTCCTCAGGATCGTACTGTGGGAAGTATGCCCTTTCAGGTCGTCGGGGTTGACTATGCGAGTCCAGTAAAGTAACGTGTTAGCAGAAACAGGGAGGGAAAAGCCTACATAATCCTGTACGCTTGCAGCCTGAGCCGTGCCTTGTACCTCGAACTGACGAAAACCATGGAGACAGAAGAGTTTATCAGTACCTTGAAGCGATTCATCGTAAGGAAAGGCCGCCCGTAGAAGATTTACTCGGATAACGGTCGAACGTTTGTGGGTGCAGCAAAGTGGCTGCGAAGTGTGATGCAAGATGAACGACTACACGATTTCCTTGCCAAGCTGAACATCAAGTGGCAGTTCAACCTCACCAAAGCACCATGGTGGGGTGGGCAGTTCGAGAAAATGAATGGCCTCGTCAAGCAAGCCTTCAACAAAAGCGTTGGAAATGGAACTCTCACCTGGAGCGAACTGCAAGATGTCTTGCTGGAAGTGGAAGTATCACTGAATAACCGACCTCTTAGCTACTTGGAAGAAGATGTACAGCTGCCTGTGCTAACCCCAAACATGCTGCAGTTTGGTCGTCCTAACCTACTTCCTGAAGACCACAATCAAGAGAAACCCGATCTTCGAAAGCGAGCGAGGTATCTAGCAAAGAGCAAGGATGTGGTATGGGGGAGGTGGTCTACTGAGTACCTAAGAAGCCTTCGTGAAAGACACAACCTCAAACACAACAAGCAAAGGCAACTATCTCTGTCAAGGAGAGACGTCGTTATAATCAAGGGTGAAGAGAAGAACCGCGGGCACTGGAAGCTAGGAATCGTCGCTGAGCTGATCACTAGTAGAGATGGTGTCGTCATGGGTGCGAAGTTGCGAGATGGAAAGTCCTACCTTGAGAGGCCTATTCAGCATTTGTACCCTCTTGAACTGTCATGTGACATGACTGCAGGGGCGCCTATCAGAAACCTGGATTCTAAAGCAGCAGTGTTCAGGCCGACGAGGGATGCCGCATTTGCAGCCAAGGTCAGAATCCAGGAACAAGCAGACGACGAGCTATCTTAGGAACTTATTATGACGTTTATTACTCATAGATTACTAATCGGACATGATTAAGTCACTTCTCCTTGTTCATTCCTTTCGGAAATGAACAGGGGGAGTGTGTGTGAGATTATAACATTGCGTGACAATTGAGATGGACACTTAATTATCGTGGTAGTGATCGGAGTGTATATCATTAAGGGATCAATTTCAATACCTTGTTTTTTAAGCATGTTATCTTAATTTTTTAGTTAGTTGGGTTTAGATTTCGTGTGTACCTTTGGCAGTGAACTTTTCCTCTTTGGAGTAAACCCTTGAAACTGTGAAATCGTGAAGTTTCTGCGTTAGCATTCACGACAAAACTTCTACGAAGAGATTTATCGAGTGGATAGGGAAACTATCCAAAAAGCTACGAAACTTCCTCGAGGGTGCTAATGGGGGTACCCAATTCGCAGTTAACTACTAATTTTTCAGCCAAATATCAGTTAACTACTATTTTTTGGGCCAATTCTTAGTTAACTACTAATTTCGGTCAGCTATTAACTTTCACTTTCCTACAGCGAATATTATTCCGTCATAACCCGAATTTTCAAAAATCAAGGTATAAATTTACATGAATTTACATAAACTCCGCCACTAGTACAATTTATAAGTAACTGAAAATATAGAAAAGAACATACAGTTATCTAACCGAAGTAGTAAAAATGGGTAAGCGATAGCTATTAAGACCCCCTATTAACTGATCTTTAGATTAAGTCGTATAGCCATCAATATGACACCAGCCTCAAGGTCCAGACGCACCAGTCATGATCTCGTACTGATCTTCCCGACCTGGTCATGCATTTCCTCCCATAAACTACTTCAAAGTTACCTTCTTCGTCACTTTCATTATCTGAAACAGTCTCGTGTACTTATCCGGTTGCTGTATGTCCTGTATCTTGTTGGGTCCTTGTTGTTGGCCTAAGTTTCAATCCATTTTCAATCCTTCAATTCATTGCAACAGACGACGGGAAAAAATCAATGCCAAAATATACTCTTAAATAACGAAACTGGACCATTATTTTTGGAATTCAATTGATCTAAAAAAAGTTTTAGCTTTTTAAAAAGATAGCAAATTGCATGACATAGTACCTGTAGTGTCGGGTCTCAAGGGACTTAATGTAGGATAATTAGATGCGAAATGAGCGTTAACACTCTAGAAAAAGAAGGACTTGTTTTCTCATATAGGACAGTGGTGAACGGACTAGTAGGAAGACTTTTGACGGAACTAAGGGCGTATAATGTAACCGTTTATTGAGCTTGATTCGCGACTTCACATTGGCGACGAGGAGTTCGTCTATTTTTTTTTTTTGGAAAATGGCTGGTTTCGATACAATCCTGAATTACGGAACATTCGACCCCGACATGGATGCAACTTCGGCGGGTTCGCGCTTCAGAAAATACGTGTAAAGATTTAAAGTTTACGCGTAAAGCAAGGAGAAGAGCTTTATTTTCACATTGTGCAGGACCAAAAGTACAAGACATTTTTGACACCCGAGAAGACACCGGTGAGGATTTCGAAACCGCCGCTGACAAACTCCTGGAATATTTTCAACCAAGAAAACATCACCTATTGAACATATACCAGTTTCGGCAGCTAACTCAAGAGAAAGAGGAGTCATACGATGACTTCGCTACTCGCCTGAAACAAGCAGCGGGTCCATGTGATTTTCCAAGGATTGACGTGATGTTGAATTCAGCTGCAGTTAACAGAAAAAAAGAAAATACGACGGTTGCTTAGCAAACCTCATACCCTAACGAAGACCCTGGATTTCGCAAGAGCCAAGGAAATATCGGATAAGCAAGCGGAAAGAATTGAAATAGACCGACAAAGCCATGGAACTGACACCAATCCAGAGGAGAAGTTATATACGCTGGGACAACAGGCACAAAGCAAGACAGCTGGAAAGGTGTGTTTTTCTTGTGGTGGAACTTTTCCGCACGCTGGAGGAAGGATGAAATGTTTAGCCGGGGGCAGAAATGCTTGACGTGTAACAAAATGAATCGTTTCTACAAATGTCGTGGGATGAAAGGAAAAGAAGACAAGGGTGTGCAGAAAGCAGGCGAAAAGGACTCGGATAGTAGCGATGCGGAATCCCTTTTGCGGTATTGAGAAGGTTGGGCGGTGAAACACAATCAGGGCCGCAGGCCCGTGAGCAATGTGACACGGGAAAATCGTGAATTTCAAGTGCTGGTGGATACAGGGGCCACGGTAAATGTAATGGACGAGATCACGTTCAAGCGGTTACTGGCCGATAAAGTGACATTGAGAAAGTCATCGAGTGTTTTGCTTGCATACCAATCGAACGAAAACCCGTCGGCGCCACTGAAAGTCATGGGAAAATTTGAGGCCATTGTTGAGTCGAACACTAGAATCGCCCCTGCCACGTTTCATGTTATAAAGGGACATACGAACACTGAGCCCGTGATAGGTTTCCAGACCGCGGAGGATCTTGGTCTTTGTTAAGGTGGCAAACACGGTCCAAACTGACGAAACAATCACAAGCAATCTGTTAATAGAGTACGCTGATCTGTTGCGCGGTATCGGAAAGATGAAAGGAGTGAAGGTAGATTTGCACGTTGACCCCGCAATAACACCGGTTGCACAGGCCCACAGGAGAATACCATTCAGTGTAAGACCCAAGCTGGAAGCAGAATTGGAGAAACTCGACGCTGATGACACAATTGAGAGGGTAGAGAAGCCTACCAGTTGGGTGTCCTCTGTACTATATCGCCGAAGCGGTCCAGCAATGAAATACGGTTGAATGTGGATATGAGGGAAGCAAATAAAGCCATTCCACGAACCCACACTGTCATATCTACAGTTGATGATATCATAAATAAGCTCAACGGGGCCACAGTATTTTCTCATCTTGATATAAACCATGTGTACCACCAACTGGAACTGAAGGAGAATAGCCGTGACATCACCACTTTTGCGACACATGTAGGTCTCTACAGGTACAAAAGACTCAATTTTGGTACGAGATCCGCCGGGGAGATATTCCAGGAAACCGTCAGCAAAGAAATCACTCGAGACATAGTGCGATACATCAACATCATTGACGATATCCTTGTATTCGGCAGGAACCAAAAGGAACATGATCAGAATTTAAAGAAGTCGTTTAAGAGAGCAAGAGAGAAAGAAATCACCTTCAACAAAGATAAATAAGAATTCAATAAGGATAAGTCCCTGTATTATGGAATGGTGTTCTCGAAAGAAGGGGCCTCCCCTGATCTCATGAAGGTAGAGGCCATTAAACAGGCTGAGCCCCCACGCAACACTAAAGAACTGAATTCGTTTCCGTGTACCGTCCAGTACAATGCAAGGTTCATGGAGAGTTACGCCCCACAAACCGATGTCCTGAGGGCACTGGTTAGAGCCGACGTTTTTAAGTGGGAAGAGAAAGACCAGGAAGCATTCGAAGCTTTGAAGAATGCTTTAAGCGCTGATACAGTTTTAGCGTACTTTGATCCTGCCGCTGATCATGAAGTACTTGTTGATGGCTGTCCCCTGGGGATCTCGGCGACGTTAGTCCAGCGCGGTCCGAATGAAGACCATCGGAGAGTGGTACAGTATGCGAGCAGGGCGCTGTCAGATATTCCCAGATCGAGCCGGAGACACTGGCCGCTGTCTTCGCGTGTAGAAAGTTTCACGTCTTCCTGTACGGCAAACCATTCATTGTTGTCACTGATCACAAGCCTAGGGAGGTCATTTTTAATAACCCGAGGCATGCAACGTGTATACGGTTGCAGAGAATGACTGTGCGAATGCTCGATCACGAGTTTAAGGTAGAATACAGGCCAGGGAAGACTAACATCTCAGACTACACATCAAGGCACCCCCTTCCTCTCGGGCAGAGCGGCAAAAGGGAACTGGACATGACTAAAGATGTCAGACATTACGTGAATTTCGTAATTGAAAATGATATTCCAAAGGCGATAAGCAAGGAAGAAATAATCGTGTCAACGGGAAATGACAGGGAATTACAGAAATTGATTAAGTGTGTCGAAGAGAAGAGTTTAGACCATAAAGACGCAGACTTGAGAAAGTACTCTAACGTTTTCAACGAACTGGCCGTAGTTGATGGGCTCGTTCTCCGCGGTGAACGCATTGTAGTGCCTCAGACACTAGGGAAGCCATGGTTCAGATTGCTCACGAAGGCCACCAAGGGATTTTTCGTACAAAGCAGTTACTCCGTGCCCATGTGTGGTTTCCTGGTATGGTACCCCGCCCCGTCACACAAGAGAGCCTCTAAAGATGACAGATTTGCCAAGGGGTCCGTGGAAAAAGGTCAGTGTAAATTTCGCGGGGCCGTTACGAAACAAAGACGTGGCTTTGGTCTTTTGGGACCAGTATGCCAGATATCCAGTCGTTGAGTTTACATCAAGTACTTCTGCTGATTACGTCATTCCCCTATTTATGCGCGTGTTCAACACGTACGGAATCCTCGAAGAGATCAAATGGGATAATGGGCCCCAGTTTAATGGATCAAAGTTTGCGAACTTTGCTCAGGAACAAGGGTTCAGACAACAGGTCAGACGAAAGGTCACCCCTGGGTGGGCTGAAGCTAATAATAACGTGAAGCGTTTCATGCAAACCCTCAAGAAGAGTGCGAGAACTTCTAAACTTAAAAGACAAGCTACTCGGGAGGGAGTGAAAAGAACGGTTGGCAGCTATCGCGCCACACCCCACCCAGCGACACCTACACGTGAACAGGTCTTTAAACTGTGTACTTGAGGTTGTACAATGTATTTGCATAATTATATCTGACCAACCTTTGTTATTTTGGCTGCTTTTGTCTTCCCATTATTATTATTATTATTATTATTATTATTGTTGTTGTTTTCAGTTAAAAAGAAAAAACCGTTATTTAGTAATCCTATTGAAGTGAAATATTTAGTAACAGTAATAGTTTAGCAGCCTACCCCATAAAATGGCTTTTCAGCTGACTTTAAAATTGCAATTTGATAATTAAAAGCATAATTATCTACTTTACAATAGGTGAAATTTATTGGGGAAAAAAATGAAATAAGGAAATGACGCTTCTTCACTTCAGCCACCTGACGATTCTGCAAAGTCATTGCAAAGGCGGAATCCTCATGGCCGCTGACTGGCAGTGAATCTAAAGAAAGGCATGTCTAACTTTTTTCTGTTTCCGATATTTCGAGAGTGCGCATCGACCATTTTCTTAAACCTGTTACAGATAAGGGGCTGGGCAAGTCCCTTAACATGTGTTAAATAAACTCGAATTTTTTTAAGACTTGTCAAAAAAGCAAGGCACGCGTTTTATCACTGGTTAAAAAATCTTTCGCTTGTTAAACCTGTCCAGTGATAAAACACTGCTGTTCGTGTTTTAAACACTACTAAACACCGAACGCTTTCAGACTAGAAAACGACTGTTTTTCCTTTTCCCACATGGAGATACACTACCTTAGAATTAAACACGAAAAACCATTCACCAACATTGGACAATCAACTTGAACGAAATGGAATAAGGGTGATAAAAATTAATTTGAAACAGCGTGAATGCACTTTTTTGTGGCGTTTTCGCTCCATGCCGTCGCAGTCGTGGTTGCTTAATATGCTCCTTATATGGAAAGAGAGTGTGACTGATAGGAAGATCAGGGATGCCAAATATGGAGAATATGGACTCTACGACTCCGACTGAGTTGAATAAACCCTGGAGCGGGCTAAACTGTAACGTCACAGAAATTCGCACTAGGCTGCTAGATTAAAACTGCACCATTTGAAGAGAGAGCTTCATGCCGCTAGTACGCAAGCTGAGAAAGAAAATTATTTATTTTGCGCGTTTGAGCGGGATCATTATGATAACAAGCTTCAATCGTATCTGACACTTGCACGAGATTGTTTTTATAAAGGGAGGCTCTCCAGCAAAGCGTGGTTCGCTGCTTTCCGTTATTTACTCTACGACGCATCTCTTGACGCACACGGATAGGTGCAGAAGAAAAAAATGAAATTGCATGAAACTGGAGGCAATGAAAAAAATCAAACAGGAATAGTTCATACTTCCTTTTGAGTTCATGGGCATCCTCACTCAAGGGATTTTGAAACCCGACCTTGGTACCAATGTTCCAAGGCAACCTCATTACACAAGACCACTCAGTAAGATTTTTTTTTTTTTTTTTTATAGTTACAAAGGTATAAAGTAAAAGTGTCTTATTACCGACGCTACAACGTTTTTAAAAATGTGTTTGGGTTTTATTTTTATTCATTCACAGTAACCTTTGAAAGAAATTCAGTTTGCTACATCCGCTTTCCTTTCCCTTACAGTGTATATTATTTCGCGCTTCCTTCCCTCTACCCTTGTTTATTAATTCTGTTCCAATTTGCTCTACAACCTTTTACCAAAAACGCCAAACGAAGATAAAATAATGCGACTTCAGTTAGTAATGTATTCGTACCGTGCGCAAGTCACTTTTTTGTTCTTTTTTTACATTAGGAGCCTTTTACAATAGAGAGCCACCACAGGAACGAGAACGTCATAAAAGTTATAAATTTAGATTAGCAATTTTGCCCGTTTGTCATGCTTTTCAATAATGTGAAACCTCCTTCAAAACTTATCAACATTCAGTAGGGATATCGTCCAATGGACTTCATGGATTCAATCACTCACTTGGGGCTGGGGGGCTTTTAATTCGGTCTGAGGAAAAACACAAGTTAAAATGACTGAAACACTTAATGTAAATACTAATACACAAAAAATGTTATGTACTACGGTCATCATAATTTGCAACATGCCGCTAGCACCCAAGCTCAAAAAGAAAAAACATTATTTTGCACGTTTGAGCCTGATCATTATGATAACAAGCTTCAATCGTATCTGACACTTGCGCGAGCTTGTTTTTATAAAGGGAGGCTCTCCAGCAACGATTTAGGCCAGCAGAATGTATAGAATTCCAGAAAAACAATCCAGGAAGCCGAACGGTTTGGAACTGCCCTAGACGTTGTTTTTATCAGTATGCAAGTAACCTACCCAATCACTTACTTTCCATCGAACTAAAATATCCTGACTTTTTTTTACCACTTTTCGATTTGATTCGTTTCATTTTATAATATTTTGGGCAAGCTGAGCTTTTTCATGCCAATTAACGCTTTTAAAATGAAAAAACTTCGAGGAACGTTGTGTTTAAAACCACGGCAATTTGTATCTATTTCGCTTCACTTACGCTTATATGCAAATTACTGTTCATCCGCCGGATTTCGCTGGAGACAAAAAAATCTATTTTCAATTCCCAAATGCTTGCCTTTTGGGGCACCCTTTTTATTTTGGCTATCAAGATTTTAAAACCCAAGCTTAACACTTTTCATTCCAACGTTTTAATGAGGGAAAGTTAGGAGAAATGCTGCAACTGATTCAAGTCACGCAACACGCTTTAAGACCGCATAACTTGATCTTTCTGTTATCTTTTGTTCTTCTATTGTCTCCAAAACAATAACGATGTTTCACCAATTTCCACCTACAAATAATAGGACACATTTGATTGAGAGAAAAATTTGCATTTACTAGCGACGCGTTTCTACAGGCGCGATTCCGTAATGGGCATGCGTTTTTACTCCAAAACTACAAGTAAAATTGTCGTAACAATTTTATTCTTGATCTAGCATAACCAGAGAAGAAACGTTCCGTAAATTCTATCGAAATATGCCTTATCTAAACCCATTTCGCTTGTTAACCTCTCTAAATTCGGAGCCTTCGACGTGACAGAGAACATAGAGAAAGTCACGCGTTAAAAACAATAGAATTTTGACAGTTGAAAGTAATTTGCATAACCTCAGAGCGCATTCTCTCCAGCTGACATAGCCCCTTTAAAGACAGCGGTCTAGCGATTAACGGACTATGATGCTTATGGACATCACTTCTTTTGACTGCTGGAGCTTTAAGATAATGGTAGTTTCTTGGTGTTGGGCGGAGAAGAAAACTTAGTAAACATTTCCAACAACACAAAACAAAAGCGAACTAACATTACTTAATGTCTGCAACACCAAGAAACAATGCACCCAAGATAACATATACTACTAGAGAGTTCAGTATACTCCATAGAAAAGTGTAAGAAAACTATTTTTAGTCCCGACCTGAGCAAGTAAGAAGAACTGAAACGTTGCGACAAGGACCCCATTAGCTGCCATAAACTGATCAGATGGACTCATGATCAGTGGCCAACTTAAAAGCTTGATCAGCATCAAAGGGTTCTTGGTCCAATTTTTTACAAGAGATAAAGAAGCTTCACTATAAGAAACATATGAAAATGGGGTGTTGTAAATCCGTTGCATAAGGCGAATAGTACTGGTGTGCTACATACTTGAAAGGTTTAACTAGCAAAAATCACTTTGTCATTAGACCCTTGTCACTAAAATGATTAACTAAAAGAAGATTGAGATGGGAAAGCGCCTGCACAAGCTTGTGTCAGTTTCAATCAAGTGATCATTCAACTTTGCCTCTATACTTATCAGTTTTAGGCTTCGTAACTGAACCGACGCAACGAAGTTAAATAATCTTGTTTCTTCTCTATTATTATTTATTGAAAATATATCACCGTTTCTGATTGTCTCTAGTCCCATCGCTAAATCCCCACAACCGGCACACGGTTACTATATTTGGAAGCCGATGTAGGACGTACCCAATCGATGGCATGCTCCTCCTCGATCTGCATAATTCCTCGCATCTTAGTCAGACTCATTCAATAACTGTTAGATATATTAAATATTTGTGACTCAAGAAGGTTCTCAATAAAAGAGGACAACTTTGAACTTGTTTCCGCCATGTTAAGGCGGGGAGTCGAAAAATCACCCACATTGATCACGTCGAGCGAACATTACATTATTCACGCTATATGCACTATTACTTTCAATCCGGAGAATTGATTTCTCTAATTTTGCCGATTAACTGCGAATGCTGTCAACTTTAATCATCGAGACCCATCTGTTGTCTAACGAAAAGTTCAGAAAGAAAGAGCCTCCGAGAATGTTCCCCTAAATCTTAATTTACTAGTTAGTATCTTTTTATCTTTGTTAGTATCTTTTTCTTTTAGCATCTTGTGTTTGGATTTTATTTTTTTTCATTCACGGTAACGTTTGAAAGAAATTCAGTTTGCTACATCCGCTTTCCTTTCCCTTACAGTGTATTTTATTTCGCTCTTCCTTCCCTGTTCCAATTTGCTTTACGACCTTTTACCAAAAACACCACACGAAGATAAATGCGACTTCAATTATTAATGTATTCGTACCGTGAGCAAGTCACTTTTTTTTACATTAGGAGCTTTTACAATAGAGAGCCACCACAGGAACGAGAACGTCATATAAATCATAGATTTAGATTAGCGACTTTGCCAGTTTATCATGCTTTTGAACCTCCTTCAAAACTTATTAGTATTCAGAAGGGATATCGTCCAATGGACTTTATGAGCTCAGTCTCTTGGGGCGGGGCTTTTAATTCGGTTTGAGGAAAAATAGGAGTTAAAATGACTGAAACATTTATTGTAAATACTAATAAACATAAAATGTTATGTGCTACCCCCGGTCATCCTAATTTGCAACAAAATTAAAAATTATTTGCGAAAACTTATTCACAAAAATGCCGAAGTTTTTTAACTGAGAAATCACCAGACTAATCCAATTTCACTACTGCTTATTCATAGTTGGTGAAGTGAGACGCAAACAATTCTTACATGTGCCAGTCACTGACCGATTTGCAATTCCGCAAAACGTAATTTATATCAATTCCCATTATGTCGCGTCGCATCGCAGTTAGATGTAGTGACACTCTCTTCGAACGTTTTTCCCTCTTGTACGATTCAGAATAACTGTAGAAAATTCGTTTATTTGGATAGCCATTTTGCCAAGGCAGGTAGACGCTTAGGGCCTGTTTACATGGAGGTGGGGGTCCACAGGTGGGTGAGGTGACCCGCTTAGGTAGGGTAACCCGCCTGTCCATACAATCTCTCATATGGTCATTCCACCTATCATGTAAACTTGATCAAATTAAAATGAGAGATTATATGGACAGGCGATTTACCCACCTTCATGTGAACAGGTCTCTAAAATGTGGAACTTGAGGTTGTACAATGTATTTGCATAATTATATCTGACCAACCTTTGATGTCTTGGTTGCTTTTTTGTTCGGATTTTATTGTTATTTTTTAAAATTAAAAGGCGAAAACCGTTATTTGGCAATCCTATTGCAATGAAATATTAAGTAATAGCAATAGTTTATCAGCCGACCCCATAAAATGGCTTTTCAGCCAACTTCACAATTACAGTTTGATAAAGCAAAATTATCTGCTTTACAATATGTGAAATTTGTTAGGGAAAAAAACTTGAACAGAAATTTTTTTGGTGTTGAACGCCCAATGAAACTAAATGACATCGAGGAGGAAAATTAATCTCTGGCGGTATAATTGAATACTGCAGTAGCCCGTGTATCAGGCGTTTGAGAAATATGGTTTCTATGGCGGCTGGCGGAACAAACGAGAGAGAACGCGCAAGCAAGCGGCAAAGCAGCCTTCCTATCTCGCCTCAGCCTTCGAAAGCAGTCGTTTCTGCTCGCTCCTCGCCGCTAAGGACAAGCGTTGTAAAACATTTTAACCGCAGAGTTATCCAATGCTTCCCAGCTTCTTCAAGTTTTGATCATTTTAACTATTGTCTATTTTAATTGCAGAATGTCAAAATTACGGGAGTCTGAACAATTCTGACAGGAAGACAACTTATAAAAGGACCAACAATTATTGTGATAACGGTACCGGCCCTGGATGGTTTCGTTTTGAAGGATCCGCCGGCACAAGAATGCCAACTTCATGTCCACCTACCTATAGGTGTAACACTGATGCAACCGGCTGGATGAATGGTGGACAACCCTCAGTAGCAGATGGTCAGGTCAGCAGGCAGGTGTGTTTCCACTGGACATCAGGCTGCTGTCAATGGTCAACAAACATCAAAGTGAGAAATTGTGGTTCATATTATGTGTACTATCTTAGTGGTATACCTACTGTTTTTTGTCGTCTCCGTTATTGTGGCACTGACTAAAAACAAGGTGCAAGAATAGTATTACATATTCTATCATTTCACTGAAGGAGGCTTCATTGTGTTAAAGAAACGAAACGAAAAAATAAACCCTCAATGAAAAATGATAAAAAAATAAAGAAAAGTGCACTTAACTTCAATATCTGAATTTTGTATAACTTAAGCAAGGGCGGGGGGACTATATAGCACTTAAATATAGCACAACCCACTACTAGCGTTAGCAAGTAGAAACAGTTTTCTTGAAAATTAACATGAGGATAGATTTTCTTTTAAGCTGTTTTGAAGACCAAGTAAGAAAGAAATTGGTAATAGAACTTACCAGGAAGTCAAGATAATACATCAAATTAGCAATGCAGTTTTCTCTGTGACTTGTCATCATAAATATACACTGGAGCCCATGAACGCCATAAAGTTGCTAAATAATCTACGATAGACAGACGTTTTAACTTAGAAGATGTGCTGGGAAGGGAGGGGTATGAATCCGCCTACTTTTTTCAATATTGGACAGTATAGGGATGCACTCTGTAAAAATTAGTTACACCTAATTGTGATCTACACTATTGTGGAGGTCACTTAACACAACAAGTATTGGTATATCTCCTTTTAGCATATACACACTCAGTGATCTTGGTGATTCAAGCAATCTGATTGGTTCCCTATCGCAGACTATGACGTTATATTCACCGCGCTAGGCGGTAAATATAAAGCAAACAAAATCGCTGTCGTAAACTGGGTGTTTTGCCAAAGTTTCAGAGTATAAGACAGAACGTTTTAAAAAATACAAGAATATCCTAGTCTTGATGATTTTGAAGGTAAGAAAAGACTTCATGGTGTATAAACGGCGCGGTTTATTGTGAAGTGATGCATTGTAGCTGACTTTTTATACGCTCGAACGGCAATGTTTAACACTACAGAGGAAAACGAGGCCGCCTCCTGACTATTTTATGAACTTGGGATTTCCTCGCAAGACTATTTTTGCCTATAAATAGAAGTTAATTTATGGAGAACATCGTACGTACCAACAAGTTAAGAATTAAGGCAAAAAACACCGCAGATATTAAGCAACGCTCACTCTGATCGAAGCCGCTGTTGACATCATATGCAAGAAGCGACAAAAAAAAAACATTCTCATTCATTATGACAGAAGCAAATAAAGCTTTACGTTTCTTCTCTGAAGGGGTAGTAATTTAAACTTTCGACGTTTTCCTTTAAACCATGGATGTTAAAGGTTAAAGCTTACAAAAATATTAAAACTATGATTTGCCATGTTTGAAAATAATGCAAAGATCTAACTTTTGCGCGTCTTATGTTTACGGCTACATGTCCACGCAATAATTCATCTTGACTTTCTCAATGCTCGTTTCTGGTTTCTGCTGGTTAGGTGGTCAGTCGGGAAGAACTTTTCTCGCCTGCAGTATGCTATTTTTGACCGGTCAATTTCTTTTTTCTGCCAGCGGTGTGACGGGGGTGTGTCGTTAGGGATATGTCCAATCAGAAAACGCTTTATCTTATGACGTCAGTTCTCGGGAAACTTGATCCAGGCGAATCCTTCGCTTGGCACGCACTTATAGCTTTGAAGCGAAGAGAGCGTAGGAAATGAACTGAACGTACACAAAGCGATTAACGGTCCGTTATATTACTGGTCGAGATTTCTAGATGGTTGCCTCGATAGGCTCAGAGAAAAGTCTATCATTTCACATCGCGCCGTTTGAGAACACACAATAGCAGAAGCGTCCGATCAGGCCATAATAAAGTTTGGGTGGACTTTTTTTATTGATTTCACCAAAGGAATATAGGTTGAGCAGTGATGCTAATTGCGACTTTTTAGATCACTTGGTGTGTATATATTAAACAATTATTCACCTCAACCTCAGTTAATATTATTGAATATAACCGATTGAACTATAGAGTTTTAAATATTTTATTAAAAATCCATCTTAAAATACCTTAAACTTCAATTCAGTATCTAGTACATATTAGCAAAGACAGAAAAAAGTCTGCATGATTAATAAAGGCAATAAAGTCACGTATCGGCAAGTAGTGCAGTTTACTGATAATGAATAATAACAATAAAAAAATATTAATAATATTGATAATAAGTTAAACGAGGACACTAAGAACAGTATGAAAATTGATCTTTTTAAACATCGTGCCCGCAGGGAACTTTGGGCGTCTATCCTTTGACTTATGTATATATATTTTTAGGGTCATCTCTGTATGTTAGTTCATCTTGATAGGTTTTAGTAGTTTTTTTTATATTAAGAGTATTGTAATTAGGTCTTCTTCTGATGGTTGTAAATTAACTTTCAAAATCCCAATTTGGGATATGTTAATAAATAAACTTATTGTATTAATAAATATGATAAACTTATTATTATTATATTATAACATTTTTTTTGTAGCCCTCCCATACCTGAGTTCTTGGCTCTCTGCTATATTATATTAGGCTGATTTAAAGATTACCAGTGGACGAAAATTGGTAACAGAACTTTCTGTAGCAAGTCAAACTAGGTATATAACTGATCTAATGAAGGTTACTTTGCGCATCGGGAACTGGCAATTGCATGGTTATTGGGCATTTGGGCATGCGAACAAAGCAATGATTTGCTTCCTTGGCCACCAAACAACAACTGCCAAGGGCACAATTTCCTGCATTCTGAAGCAATATTTATTGATCAATCAGCTATATATAGAACACCCCGAAAAAGAAATCAATGAAGTTAAATGTTGCGAACGTTAAGAAGATCATCAGAGCTTTAGACTCAACTTTTGCATTTGCGAAATGAAAGCCTTAAGTAATTCAGGCTTGTGGTCCTTGTGCTATGACCTGGATTCGAAGCCCTGATCTCGCTGCGATAACAGTTCAGCGCTCTGCTAATTGAGCCAACAATCCAACTGGGAGCAGGTATTTGAGTTGGTTCATTTGAAGGACGATCAGTTTCACAGCCAACTCTCAGTACTACTCCTTAGTTACCATGTGAAGTACATTTAGCCGATTTTTGGAAAACGAGCCTAACGAGACTTGCTGCTATTTGAGTGATTTACCAATGTCAAGTCGACTGGAAATTTTTCCCTATCTCCCTCCCTCTCATAACAGTAGAGACCTTACGATCCGACAACGGCGACGCCAATGAAAACGTCGCTGAAAAATTGAGTTCGCGTCCTTTAAAACCACTTCGCGATTATCCCAAGTCACCCAGTCACTTGAAAAAAGGGAATTTCTGTTGGAGCTGAAGAGAGGGGCCGTACCCGAGCGTAGACAGAGATGATAGAATTTATCGCCTTGCCGTTCCCGTCCTCAAAAAAAATAAAAAATAATAATAATAAGATTTGGTCATTTCACGTGGTAGTCGTGCAGGGACGGCCAAGGAATGTACAAAAAAGCGTGATGCACGTGCAGAGTTGTTTTTTTGATAACTAAAACTATTGCTTTTTGACGTTCCCGTTGCTGTCGACGTCGTAGTTTTGTAAGTTCCCCATTCGACTGTCGGTTGACATATCGGTCGCTTTATCGGTGGAGAGTACGTTGGTCAAGTCTCGGAGGATCGAGTCCCGAACGTGAGTTGGTTGCTACAGTCCATCAGTTGACAGTCGGTCGATGGTTGGTCGTTTAAAAAAAATTCGCCGACGGATCACCGACACGGATCTACCTCGGTCGACTGTCGTTCGACATGGCCGTCGATCGACCGATATCGACTTAGACCCTTGACCGACTCACCACCAACACTCGACCAATGTAGCTACCCATATGTGACCGACAGTCGACCGAGATATCAGCCGATAGATCGGTAGACAACCCCTATAAGACATATGATCCCCAAGGCTTGATATCCGTTTTTTCCAAATCGATGAGGTCACTGTAGTTGTTAAGTAAAGGCGGTGCAATGAATTTGCACTTAATTCGCCTTCACAACGTGTTACGGGCATACTACATAATATATAGATTTAGCCAGGGCTAAAAGCGAGACTCCCATTAATAAATTTATAATTTAAGTTAAACAATAAACTTGTATTCGAATTCCACAATTCAGTTAACTTTAGAGTGACTTTTGAGGGAAAGGCCACCTGATTTTAGAGAAAAATAATTTGCAAACAGCCCAAGAGTGAACCAAATCTTACATCGAGTTGATAGCCTCATATGTACACCCAAAAACTGGTAATCATCTTCGATCACATTTAAGAGCCATAATGGCTCTTGATCACCGTAGATTAATTAGTGGAAAAAAAAATCAGGCTAACTTTTTTACGTTCAACAAGTTTACTTTGCAAAATCTTGTCAACAAATCTGGGTGCGTGTAAACCAACCTTTTATACCATTTATACATCACATCTGAGGTGAAACAGTAGTATGAGGCACTGTTTTTATCATACCGGCAGACCTCGGACAGAAAGCAGTATTTCACAATACAAATTGCACTCATTCAATATTCATAAACTGTTAAAAAAATTTCCAAAATCACCTATACGGCCATCCGGTTCTCACTTTTGTAGTGCGAGCTGTGGCGAGTGTTTGAATGAACATTAACAGAGTTACGCTCCAACATTATAAAGAATTTATTCTGTTTATTTTTTATTTAATGGTTTATTAACGCCTGGCATTTTGAGTACTCTGCAAGCGATGTTCACTGAACGACTGAAAAGAATCGGCACAGCGATTAAAATTACAAGAGAGACTACTAACAATCAATAAAAGAAATATAATTCGGTGAAACATATACAGAAACAACAATTTTCATTCAGGAAGACAAGTATTAAAGTATCCCTAAAAATCCTGAGTCTTCAAGCTTCAAGCTTAAGTTTATTAAGCCGGCTTCCCGGTGTTTGCCTTTTTCAAAGACGAACTCGAGGCAAGAAAATCGCTCAAAGCTTTCTTTTCCGGCCAGAATTATAACTAAATATTCTTTGGAACGTTTTCTTTCTATTTGCGGTGAGAAACTGTCTAAAGGCTTTTTAAAGTTCTGTAAGCTTATATCAAACCTGATACTCGGTCAGATCATTGTCTC